TTGACAGTGAGTGAGATAGAGAAAGAAAGTTAGAGTAACATATATAGAAACAATATTCAATGAAAAAAGAAAAATAGTTCTGCAAATACATAATAGCCTATGTTCTTGATAAAGTCTAAAAACTGTAAACGATAGTCTTTATGAGCACCCAGACCTTGTTAGTTAAGTTGTGTTAGGTAGAGTAGGGGACGGGTTATATTAGGTTAGGTTTTGTTAGATAGCGTTAGGGACGGGTCAGATAGGTTTATTTAGGTATGGTAAGGGAAGGTTGAGATGAAATTAGGGTTGTGAAACTTTTTTCTGTGTTTTTTCCTCACCACAGCACACCCTACTCTGAAGTATTTTATTCTGCCTACACCATCGTTATTCGTTGCATTTCACAAAAATTTTCATCGTCTTTTAAAAAAATATTTACTAAAACAAAGTCCTAAACAGAATGTATTATTTCACTATAATTATATTGACATGTAAAACAATATTCAAATACGAAAGAAAAAAAGTTCTTCAAAACAAATTAAAAACCATGTTCTTGAAAAGTATTTATCAATACTTTACAACTGCATACAAAATGCAACAAGCAAAATAAATAAAGGCTAAAACTATACACGAGCCTTCTCTATTCTCGATAGGTTAGGTTATGTAGGGTGAGGGTAAGGTTAGGTTACATTAGGTTAGGTGAAGTTTTAGTTAGATAGGGTGAGGGTTAATATAGTTAGAGTGAGGGTTAGGTTACACATATGTGAAAATAAGTGAGTTCGAAGCTCGAGTTTCTTACAAAAACACACAAAAACAATAATGCTACTTTTTATATATTCAATCTCATTTAATACGATCCTGCATATTATTTTCTTATCCTTGCGAGAAATAACTTTTGATATACATGTACAAAGACTAAAGAGACATATTTAAATATAAAAACATTTAAATAATTTTTTAAAAGCATTTTGATTCCCATTGTGTCGGATGTTTTGACCTTGTATCACAAAAAAAAATTACTTAATTTTATTCTAGTTAAGCACAAAAAAATCATAGTTCATACAATACATTCAAGCAATGGAGATAATATGTTATATAGAAAGGAAAAAAAATATTTTTTTTTTTTAACTGCATGTATTTGTAATATTTATTCTTTATGTAGGGGGACGGGAAATCGACACCAATGCAAATTTAACGAGGAAGGTTGACTTGTTCCAAAATAAAGTCCTAAAAATAGATATTTATTTCTTTTTTTAAGCATTAAATTTAAGCTGGAAAATTCCAAATGTGTCCATGAAATGGGTATACAATTGGGTTGCGAATGCGGTAAAGCGTAACAAACAAGCAGTAACGAAGAAACTCTCCAATCGAATGCGAACGTTTTATTGGCCAATACGAAAACATTTTATCCGGAAATAATCCTTCTGATGATTATTTCAATTATCACGTATTGTAAAATCTTTGTTCTATTTTGTTTACATTTGCGGACTGTTTCGCTTTCGCCCTTTTTTTTCTTTCGTTATGTCATGACCCGCGACTCTATCACTTACCGGCACGTAATGCCTTTAAATAGATGACCGTCTTTGCCACTATTCGTGTAAATCCTTCCGAGATAAAATGTGCAAAATTAAAAAATAGCCAATTTTCCTGTTTTGTCGCGTTTCCTTTTAAATCAAACAAAAGACAAAAACAACGTGTACGGTTCTTGAACGGTGAAAATTCCCCTTCTAGGACTTCCTATTGACTAATGACAAGCATATATTCAACGGTCAGGTTTGTGAAAAACTCGGAAACTCGAACTTGCATACTAAACTAACTACAACTAATTATTAACATTTAAATTTTTTTTAAAAATTAGGTACATTAAAATGTGAATGTTTTTAAATTATACATGAAATTGGATGTTAAGGATGTCCTGGAAGGACGTGATCCTATGCATCGTGGGAGAATTTTTAACTTCTTTTTCATTATCCAATTTCATATACGACACTAACAACAGTTACTTTATTATTTCTCTTTTCCTTTCTTGTTTATATACAAATCTAAGATATTCTTATATTGTATACCTACTTTATCTTTATCTATCTGTAAATTTACATTATATTCTCCTAAATTAATATACACTGACAGGCAAAAAATTCCATCCAATTGATTTTTTCATTTTCTCGATAAAAGAAAATTCTGCCCTTAATTTGTCTCATTGTTTTTACCAATGTTTGCTTATGCTACGTTTTACATTGGGAATATCAATTAGAGGTAAACACATGTATTCCTCAAACAAAAACAAGGATAAAGGATTTTTCAACGTTTACTTTTTGCCGAACTTAAAATGTTTATTCACTCTCATTTGAATTCTGAAGCAATAAAATGTTTAGTTTTCATCTTTGTTTTCTTAATTTCAATATTTTAACTTAAAAATGCCTCTTAGTGCTGAGGATGTTGCGCGTGGTGTGGCACTTATTGATGATGGACGTTCCATCAGGCTATCGCCATCGTAGTTTCCTACGAAACACTGCGAGACGCCGTTAGACGTTTTCGAGAAACTGGGTACTACCATAGAAGACTCGGTTCTGTACGCCCTGGGGTAACAGAACCACAGGATGACGGTTTTTTGACTTTGAGATTGTGCGAAACCGGCACCTTACTCTTCTTCAAGCGATTCATCAGCTCCAGGAAGTTCGAGGTGTCCAAATTTCTGAACCCACTGCTCGACGAAGATTAAATCGGTATGGACCGATTACCTTTTCCCTCATAAGAATTGACCAAACACACAGAGCTGCACGGCTCCCATTTGCTCGAGAATACAGCCATTGGTCTTCGGACGATCGGTTTTTACAGATGATTTGCTCTATGATCTCAATTGATACTAATGACCTAACCCTGGTATTCCCTACATGAGAAATTGGACATGTTGGCCAAACAAGGAGCCAAATCTCTAGGCACCTAACTCCTGTGTGCCAGCAATATAGATCCTTAATGAGTCCAAAACCTGGTATATCAACACCCCAGGCATGGGCACGAAGAGATTAATAAAAAGGCTATGCGCAAGACTTGCAAAGTAATTACTGGTAGGTAACCGCAATAGAGCCAGGATTATGATTTTACTCCCGACAGAGTAGTTCGTCCATTTTCTCTTTTTTTGGTCCATTCTGAGATAGAAGATTCTGTGTTTGTTTTTGTCACATAAATCATAAATTCATAGTCTCTTTTAGGTCTTTTAGAAACTCCTCTGACCAATATATCTGTTTTTTATTGCCCAAAATTTCTTCGTGCCCTGGGACCTAAGCTTTTTTATCAGATACCGAATCTCCCTTCAGGCCTAGGCTTTATGTCTTCAAGGAGTAGGAATGTGAACCTGCATAGGCCTTCGCACCACACGTATACCATTGATCCTTATTCTTCCTGGCAATAACCGCACAAGTCAGACAACGGGTCCATAATCCTACCAAATATAACACAACCTAACCCTTATCCTCAATATATAGACATAGGCGTTTTCATCGAACTTTTCTTGACTAATTTAACAACCTCTTCGTTGCCGATCTGTTCTGAGTGACCTGATCTCAAGACAAGGATGACTTAGTTATTTGTCTCTGTCCAATCTAACAGGGACTTAACTAATTTCAAAACGGCCTTTCGGTTTCAACGTACACAACCCCGTTTGAGCAGGCTTCTAACTGCTCCGAATACACCCCAGGAGTCTCTGTGTCCAGTTAGCAGTTCTATTATCATTCTAGACCTAACACGTACTAGGTTTTTCGTGCGATGGTTCTTTAATAAACCTTTTCGTTGGCCTGGAATGCAATCCCATTAAACTGAGGACTGATTGTTAACCCGTGGTCTGATGGATTCACGATTTTGGCAATGCGGTGGTTTTGGAGATTTTAGATGGATTCATCGTTTAGTTTGATGTGACCTTTTTCGCAAGATATTGCTTAACGTGTGCTTCCAGTTTGTGCATATTCTTCCGTACTTTGCAGTGTATAGTCAGCAGTCCTGTAATCATCCTAGTCCTAGCAGTTCTTCCGTTAGGTTCTGCGATTTTATAAATCATTTCGCATCAACTTTCCTGGAATACGTTCCCAGAGGAATTATTTTTAACTCGTTATCTGATGATCCACTACGATTTTGGCAATCTGGTATGCCGCAAAAGTCTAAGACGAAAAGAACAATTTTGCTAATTTATCAGCCTCCTCGATGCAATCCCAATTAGCTCTGGACATGATGATACCATATGTATGTAGTATCCTATTATCATTCCAATCTCAGTACGTCCTAAGTTTAGTAATTCTGCCGTTAGTTTTTACGATGGCTCTTTGATGAACTTTTTTTGACAATTTGGTATGCTGCAAAATGTTTCAATGGAGGATAGGTGTCCACGTTAAACTTTCCTTGGCCAACTCTTCCTCTTCGTTGCCCTTCAGCCTTGCGTGTCCTGATACGAAGACAAGGGTGATTTTGCTGTTATCTTAATTGTCTGACACGGCCTTAATGCTTCCTGCCAGTGCATTTAAATCGTGTAGTAGAAAATTCTCACGTAGAGCTAAAACTTACTTAATTTTGAGAAATTTCTGCGCCACTGTGGTTCCTATACCATGACAAATGGGCATGGAGGTTAAGATAGAAAAGAGGAGTAAGTTGCTTCCTTTTAAACATCAAAAGTGCCGCGCTAAAATTTACTCTAGGTTAACATTCAACGATTAATTGGAAATAAAAGAAGGAAAGGCAGCCCCTTGAGAGTTAATAAAAATGTTAGGAGAACAATCCTTGCAAGATTTTTCAAGAGGACTGCTCGAAACAGACAATGAACTAATTAATGAAAACCAAATGGTTTGACTCATCACTTTGGCTCATTCTTTCATAAAAGAAGGAAGGGCAGTCAAAAAATGTTTAAACTGTCAAAGGAGGTCTTTTTGGGTTTGGTTTGTGCAAAAAAAAACACAAGATGTCATTTCGTGGTGCGGTAAAAGACAAGAATGACGTCATTTCGCCCAGATTTGTCGAGAGAGAGCCAAAGGTCGGGGAACAGCGGGCCGAGTCGCATTGCGAGAAACGGGAGAACCTCCGCCGGAGTCGCATACTTCTTTTTTGTCCGTTCTCAGTCTTCACTTTTTTAGAGCAAGCGGCCAGTTAAGAGCATACGGAAGAAGAGTGAAAAGTGAAGAGTGAGCGATCGCCAATTCGAATTTGGGTCGGCTTCCGCGGTCGCCACTTCCGATATCGATGTTTTGTTTTGGTCCGAACTTTTTCGAATAAATTCACCCTCGCCTCCAAGGAACATTTGTTGTTATTTGTATTTTTTTCGGTATAGGAAAAGAAATAATCCGTTTTCAGTTCGACTTTGAACGGGGAAGTGAAGAAAAAGACCGGGCGTCGGTTATTTTTTCTCTGATTTTCTCTAGACAAAAATGCCAGTGTAAATCGTCCAAAAAATCACGGTAAGTTTTTTTATTAAATAATTCACACCTTTAAACAATAAACTTAGATTAACTTTCCAACCGGCTCTGTCCAGCCTGCTTCATCGGGTTCCAGACTTCCAAAATTTAATTTTTTCTCTTGGTGTTATATGAAAAATCTTTAGATTTATTTATAGACAAGAGTATATTTAATTTAATATAATTTTAAAAGTTGTGTGCAGTTAAAAGTGAGCAAAAAAGGAGAGAAATTCTCCATTTCAAGGTGATTAATGAATGTGAGATATGATAAGTAAACTCCAAACGACCCAACAATAAAACTTTTATTTACTTTTCTCTATATTTTTCTTATAAAATTGTCTTAATTTTCATTTTTTTTTTAATTTTTGTATTAAAATTTAAGTAAAGATATTTAATATTTTGAAAGATTTTAAATTGAAGGGTAGGTAGAGAGTTGGGTGTTTTTCCTACTTTTTCGTTGCCCTTGACTTTTTGTTGTTATAAAAGAACTCTTATCTTGGGTATGAATAATCGTTGACATCGACAAAAAATCTGAAGGTTTGGAAAGGTGGCGGAAACGTTTGGGATGTAAGTATGATTTCTCGCAAGGGTTCAGGTGTTACCACACCGTGCCACTCCTGTCCAAAGCAGTCGCAGTATTGTCTTGTATAAAGTTAGTTGTGTTTTGAAAAAAGATTGAAGTCGTGGACGGAGTGAGGAGCTTTCAGTCATGGCGATTATCCACACTAATTCTCTCGAACTTACAGAATGGCTTGAGTACCTCTGGCCTCATCAACAGAGTGAAGTAGTAGTCTACTTGTACTTACAGAAACCTACCAACACTGGTACTCGGTGTGAGGGATTATGGGACAAAGATGTCCCGAGGCCGTTGTCGATTAAGGCAAAGTAGCTGGTTCTCAGGATGGGAAATGGCCCCAAAGTTTGGGCAGTACGGTCAGGATTGAGAGGTTGGTGTCAAACTCGGTTGAGAGATGACGGATGTCATTGTGGATAGTAAGGTCAGTAATGTAGTAAGGAACTTTGACGATCTGGTTGAGGACTTTGGATTGGAAAGATTGTATTCACTGGATTTTAGATAGCTTGCTGGAACCGCACAGTATCACTCCTGTCCAAAGCAGTTTATATTTTGTATAAAGATAGTTCAGTTTTGACAGATTATTAAGTGATTTGTAGAGAGAAGCTTGCAGTCATCGCCATTATCCAGACTGATTCTCCTAACTTACTGAAGGGCTTGAGTCGACCTTTGGCCTCATCGAAGGAGTTAATTGTTGTATTTACAGAAACCAGCTATATAGGATTAAGGGGATTTGAGGTCTTCGTCGTTTGTGGCGACATGGCAGGTTGAGAAAGCACAGATGAGACTTGGTAAGTAGGAGGTCAGGATGAATCGAGAGGTTGCTGTGTAACTTTTGGAAGCAGGATCACCTCATACAAAACTGTTAAGGTTGTTGTGTGTACTAAGGACTCGTTATTCTCAGCGGCGTTGTTGGGAATGTCTACACATTGACGGAATAGAGGTACTTGCTGTACTTACATAAACCACGGGCACTCAAAATGGAGGATTAAGGGATGTTTTTGAGGTTATCGTCGTTTAAGGCAATGTGGCAGGTTCTCAGTTCAGGGAAAATGTAGAAAAAGCTTGAGCAGTATGATCAGGAAGAAAGTCGCCTCTACCCCTTCAAAATCCAACGTGTATAAACATAAAACAGCAATATCTCACTGGCACTCTCAACACGACGCACAAGAATGGCACAATTACACAGAAAACAAACACTTTGAGTAGAAATACTTTGTTTGAATATGAAAAATATTTTTTTGCATTGTATAAATTCACTTTTTTTCCACATCCTACATGTATTTGTTAAATTTAAACAATGTTTGTAAATCCCAGGCCCTGAAGATGATCTCAATAAAGATCGAAACATTGGCATGATAAAGAAAATGTTTTTGTAACACCTACATCATATCAGACCGCATCTCACGATTTCCGAATAATCATAAGTCGAATTTTGTTGGTGAATCTTTGGTTTTCACATCAATGGGACAGGTTATGTTTGGTGACAGCCAATGGTATGAACAAGTAATTTTTTGATGTACATATGTGACAATCCGGATAAAAAAAACATCTCTACTTGTGCTGTGAAAGGCAAATTCTTAGATGCTGAAGCTTTTTAGCATTGGTCAATTTATGAGGATATGCTTAGTTTCTAAGTTTTCCCAAGTCGATGTAAGCTAGATAACATCATTTCATCACTTATGTTGAAGTTCATCACTTTGGCAAGCTCCTGACATGTTCAACTCGAAGCACATTTGAGAGCTTCCCTCAATTTGTCGTCATGCAAGACTTAAGGCCTATCGTGGTTCTTCAATCCCTCATTCACAGAAACAATCTTTAAGAACTAATTTTGGGCAGGCTACCTAAAATATTTTTTAGTATGATAAGGATGATATAAAATATTCCAACTATAAGCATAAAAGACTAAGAACGTTGTTTGAATCGAAGAATCTGTGATATGTGAATTTTATACATACAGCCCTTAATTTATTTATTATTATTACAGTTATTTATTGAGTCATACATACTTTTTTTTAAAGTTGGGTGTAGCTTTGGGGGCATTGGGTACAGCAATGATTTAGATGCTGACATGGTGCTCATCATTAAAGTAAAGGCCACGGGTTGGACTGAAGGGCCGCTTAAAAAAAAAAAAAAAAATTAATTAAAAAAACAAAACAATAAAATAAAAATACACATGAGGTAAATGAGAGAAATGCAAAAGAGTACCAATAACAAGAGTAAATAATTAATTACAAAAAAAAACTATTATGGCTTATTACTCATGGTTTCATTCCTATTTTTGAGAACCACTTTGCATAAATTTGCACCCATTTGACAAAAGTCCTTGTTCCAGAACAAAAAGGAGGATACATTTTTTTTTTTTTTTTGGATGGATGGATTGTTTTTTAAATCAAAAATTTTCTGAAAATATTTGTGGACAAAAAAATCTGGTTTCGAGATTGTTTTGCAAATCTCATATTTGGATTATTGTTTCATAGTGCTTTATTTAGATAAACTAATTTCATTGTTTGTATTTTAGCTAATGCCAGTCCTAAAATAATTATAATGCTAATATGAACATAAATATGTTTCTTCTTTCCAAGCGTTAGTCATCATTCCTTTGATAAAGCATATCCTGGTCAGATTAGCTAGAAATTGATAACTGGATTAAATCACAAGTTTTCATATGTTGACAACAAAAACTTTATTATTTATTTGAATTTTATTCTTGTAATTGGACGAAATTGTGAAAGATGACTATCGCATACTCAGAAATCCTTGTCGATCTGAAACTTGATAAAGGTTTTGCCTTTGTACAGTTTTTAAATGTTTTGAATTAGTTTTTCCCTATGTAGATTTGTCATTTGCAATTTGATTTTTGTACACAGATGTCAAACTACCAATCAGGCAACATGGGAGGGGATATTTGGGTCCAACTCTTTTCCTGCTGTATCAATCAACCAGCTCACCAAGTAAGTCAAAAATTTGTTAATAAATCTCATACCTAAACCCTAAAAACATTCCAGCCACAAGATCCATCAGCCTTCCTAGTGATGAAATCTTCAAAAGAGCCTGGGAGTGTTTTTGTACACAACCCAAGTGTTCGAAGGAATCTGGCATCCAGGAATTCTCTACAAACTAAAACAGTTCCTAATCGTTATTACCTCATTCTAAAATTATTTATTTGTACATATTATTTATACTATTGTCGTGACCACCCTGACAAACATTGCAGACAGAATCCCATACTAGCCACTGTCAATATCCAGGAATACCTTGAACCCATTGAAGATTTGTGCAAAAAATGGAAATTATGTTGAAAAAACCAGCTTGTCCTAGACTATACACCAACAACACGGAATTACTGACATCCTCACAAGTGAAGAAAAAAGCAATAAGAGCTGACCAGAATACTGCTAGGACCAAAATCACAATAGTATCATGTTACCATAATATTATGTATGAACATAATCCCATACTAGCCATTGTCAATATCCAGGAAGACCTCAATCATCATCAAGCTCATCGAAGACAAATGCACCCAAATCACTTTAACCACCAACGAGGAAATTAGGACTATAAGACAGCAGACGGGCATGGAATTCCCATGCTAGACTGAAGGAAGTGACATGAACAGAAGACTTCTAGGATCAAAATCACGATGGTATCATGATACAATAATATTATGTACAAGCCCAAATCCCATACTAGCCACCATCAATATCCTGGAAGTCCTTGAGCTCAACAAAGAAAATGGACCCAAATCACTAATAAGGACTATACTTAGTCAGCAGACTGACAGAATCCCCACACTAGGCTGAAGTGACAATAACAAAAGACTTTGGAAAATCAGATATGATTGTAACAATTTCCCCAGGGAACAACAAGAATAGGTTGTTTGAATTCAAACATTTCCTGACAGACCTAGCAGACACCCTCCGGAAAAAATTGAATAGATAAAAAAATGGATCTGGAATGCAAGAAGATGACCCTGGAACCAAATTCTCACAGCCTATGAGATAGTACACCAAGATCTTCTAGTCTGATGTCCACACAATTGAGAGATGTACTCAGTTCAACCTAACAAGGAGTACAAAAATAATAAATAGCTGTAATGTTGGATTGCCAGGCAGCCATCAGAATACCAAGCTCAAACATTATTAGGTCAGAAATAGTTAGATATATGCAAAATACAGTTACTCATTGCTAGGTACCAAAAAATGTCCCGAGAAAACTGACACCCTTGCTAGGAAACGGGCTATTATACTGCTGATAGGTCCTGAGCCTTTCTGTTTGATAGGGATTCACACAATTAATGAGTATCTTAAACAAAAAAATACAAAAATTAGGAAACAGTGGAATTCACTCGTTGGGCCAGACAATCCAAGAACTTATTGAGTTTTGTAAGGAAAGAATGCAAAAAAAGGAAGAAGGAAAATATTTCAGATCCTAATATTGCATACTGAATGGGCATTTGAGTAAGATTGGTATAATCCATGGTATGTGCAGATTCTGCAAGGAAGCAGTCTCCAATGCTACTCCTGCTTGCAGTAGGAAGTGCTTTGGCAATGTATAACATAACTGTAGAAGAAATCCAATCATTGAGACCAGGACTAATAATCATATTCCTTGATGAACTAGGACTGCTGTGCTATAGAACATTTAGTCCTGAGATCGGAAAACTGGGTCGATCTCATATTTGCCAAGTTAGAGGTCATACAGGAGGACTACCCATTGGGTGTCACGGACAGTGGGTCAGAACCGCTTTACAATACTTTTTTTCATACTATTATCAACTAAAAAGCCATGGGCTCTGCCAGGATTCGAACCCAGAAGCTCTAACATAGAAAATACGAGTCGGACACCCTAGCCACCCAACACTGCGGTCCCCTTGACATACACAATAAACTTATCATTTTAAAGTTCCTGTCAATCCAATAAATTTACCACCAGTGCTTATTTAACTTATGTATTAAAATTATACACCTCATAATTTTTTCCCCGGCCTTGTCACTTAAATCATATATTAAATTATCCTTCAATTTTACAGAGAAAAAGACAACAGAGGCGGGGAAGAATCGACAGATCTATGATCGGTGAACCGACCAACTTCCGGCACACCGGACACATTGGCTCTGAGGATGTTGACCTCGGAAACACTCAGTTACATGCAATACAAAACCAGATGCAGTCCAAAGGAGGATATGAGACTTCCGTATCTGCCGTAAAAGTAATGTATTAATCTTTTTTTCATTACTCATAAAAGTGAAAATATGTTGGATCAATACATGTAGCAACAAGTAAAATAAGTCGTTCAATAAAAAATAAATAAATTCTCCTTTGAGTTTATAAACACAACATTTGATGATTTCTATTTATTTCAGGTTTATTAGCTGAAGGTGGTTGTTTAAAGGAAGAATGTTTGTCCATATTTATTTAAATAAGGTAAAATATCTCTAAATGCAATACTTGGTAGTTAATGGATTTATTAAAATCAGTATTTAAATTTTAGTGGATTAATGATTGGGAGCGTTTCCAAGTTTTTTTAAATATATAAAAAATAATTGAAATCTCATTTTTTTTCTTAGTCTGTAAATTTTATTTTATTTATTTTATGTTATTAACTTATAAAAAAAATGTTCTATTTCATGTATTTGTAATTAATTTTATTGTGATACTTTATTGTATAAAGCCCTGGGATAGAATTAATTGATTCATTTCATTGATTTGTTTAATTTTATCTCTTTTTTTTCTGTTTTATTATTTAAAGTAACATTTAAAAACTCAAAACGATCTTAATACATTTTAGTACTTGTGATTTAAATTTTAGCTCAAGTGTATATTATTCAAAATTTAATCTTATTGCCAAAAATTACAAATTTTCAATTTAGCAAGTCAATTATCATAAAAACTGTTCCATTAACCCCGTCCGCAAAGGAATTATAGTAAAAACAAAAGACTAAACTTAAACAAATAAATAATAAGTGTGATATTGACTGTATTTTTTACATTGTTAAGTTCAAGACGAATTATACTTTGTATCTTTTAGTACAATTCGCATAGCCACTATTAAATAGATTGTGATATGCGAGAAAGTAGTTGAAATTTATGAAACAATATCATATCATAGTTTGGACTATCTATTTCTAATATAATATTTTACTAAACAATTTTATACAAGGTGTTCTGACTGGATTTTTGTATTGTGAACGTCTAGGAATAATAAATGTACTTATAAATTTTCATGGAGAAAAGAAAAGTATTACAATTTTGTAATTAAGTTTTTTAATACAATTTTGAATATAATTCATATGTGAATGATGCTATTGGCTTTTGTAAATACATTTTTCTATCAATGATTTTATTATTTCCCTATTTTAATTTCATGTCCTTATTATAATGTATAGAGGAACCTAAGACCTTATCTACTAGTACTGACATTTTTCTACATAGCTAATATTATTAATATGATGGTGAAGTTATGGGGTTAGGTTAGTTTGCTGTGCTGGAAGAAATTGGTTCGAGTTGCCCAGCCCATAGAATTTTAAGAGGTAATAATAATGCGCAAAAGGTATGGTAAATAATTCTAAAATGAATATTTGGAAAACAAGATGAAATATCAAATGAATGAATGAATAAAGTAATAAGTACTAAAGAACCAGCATTCCCTATTCGCCATCCATCCCTCTATGAAAAACTATGATTTTTGATTTATTCAAATTTACAAGTTTCAATAAAAGTGATTTTTTTCCAAAGGTCAATATTTCTGTGCAAGGTGGACGGAGAACTGTGATGATTATATCATCATAAAGAGTTTGAGCAGGGAATTCCTAATTCTAGAGCATCACGAAGGTCATCGAAAAATAGCGAAAACAAGGGGCTAAGTATGTATCTATGACTAACTCCAAGTCCAACCGGATATTTATTTGTTAATTTTACCAAACCAGAAAGGGTGAATAAGGTAGCTATCATAAATTCAAAGAAGCCTTGAAATATCGTTTATAGTATGTTTAAACAAGAAGGTACCCTTGAGGAACGAGGAGGAATAATTTAAAAAAGTTTCGTTCCAGCCTTATATGACTGATATAAAAATGTCTGTTGAAAGAAATTGTGATCTTTCTTCAACATTTTTTGTTGGCTTACAACACAGCCATGTTTACTTAATGCTGTTTTGAGCCCCTCTCAAAAATGTGATAAAAATTTTTCAAATTAAATTTACCCTTTTACAATTTAAATTCACCCTTTTGCATTGCAAATTTGAAAAAGGGTGAAGTTAATTTGCAAAAAGACAAAATTAATTTGTAAAAGAGTGAATTTTATTTAGTAAAATGTAGAATTTGATTTGGAAAAAGTTAACGCAATTTTCAAAAAGATTAATTTTATTAGCAAAATAATAAATTTAATTTTCAAAATGATGGATTTGATTTGCCATTGGGTTAATGGGGGACCACAGTAGCCAAGTGGTTAGCGTGATAGATTCTCAGCTCGTAGACCCAAGGTCGTGGCTTTTTTTTTTACACAACCCTTTTTCCTCCTCCCCCCCAAAAAAAACCACGCATATCATCACGTTCATTGTCTAATATGCAAAGTTTATAAGGTTATTTAAAAAAGAAAGAAATGTTGAATTTAATTTTCAAAAAGGCGAATGTGATTTGCAAAAGAGTGAATTTGATTTGCAAAAGAATGAATTTGGTTTGCAAAAGGGTGAATTTGATAAGCAAAAGGGTGAAATTGATTTACAAAAGGGTGAATTTGATACGCAAAAGGGTGAAATTGATTTGCAAAAGAGTGAATTTGGTTTGCAAAAGGGTGAAATTGATTTATAAAAGGGTGAATTTGATAAGCAAAAGGGTGAAATTGATTTGCAAAAGGGTGAATTTCATTTGAAAACTGGTGAATTTGATTTGCAAAATTGAGAATTTGATTAGCAAAAGATGAATTTGATTTGCATAAGGGTGAATTAGATTAGTAAAACAGTGACTGATTTATTTTGGGAAATATGTTTATTGGACAAATTCTGACATTTTTTGTGGATGAAGATATCCAAATTGAGCAAAGCCTTATACTCTTTTCGACAAATTTTCTTAAAATTTTAGACAAATTTGTGTTCAAATTCATGCAAAATGAAATTTGGTATTTGCAGTTAAAGTACCAGTTCATTTTTCACTGACCAGAGGAGGCTATGGATGTGGGATCACCGATATTAATTCAACTTTTTTTGGTGATACTAGGTCATAAAAATATAAAAATTAGTCTTAATTATTTCAATATCTATCCATTCATACTATGCCTAGCTCCTAAGTACAATTTTGATTAGTGACAGGGCGAAGCAAAGCCAAAATTGACATAAATATGGAAAAACCTATTGTTATCAAATTTAGTCATTAAACAGCCTAGAATATATTGATCTAGTAATCATGTTGACAAATTTTCTTATTTTGTTCCATTTTAGACAAATTTATGCTCATATTCATAAACAAGTGTGGAAAACTTAAAGCTTAAACAAATTTTAGTGTGGGGCTCTGTGGTGCTTTTTTTTCATGCAAGCAAAATGAAGCTTGGTATTTGCATTTAAAGAATCAGTTCATTTTTCACTGACCAGAGGAGGATGGATGTGGGATCACCGATTTTAATTAAACTTTTTTTGGTGATACTAGGTCATAAAAATATTAAAAAACTAGTCTTAATTATTTCAATATCTATCCAGCCTTACTATGCCTACCTCCCAAGTACAATTTTGACTTAGGGCGAAGCAAAGCCAAAAGATGCAAAAACCTATTGTTATAAAATCTGGTCATTAAACAGCCTAAAATATTGATCTAGGAATATTGTCAAAAATTTTTTGTTTTATTCAATTTTTGACAAATTTATGTTCATATGCATAAACAAGTGTGGAAAAGTTAAAGCTCAAATAAATTTTAGTGTGGGGCTCTGTGGTGCTTTTTTTATCCATGCAAAATGAAACTTGGAACATATTTACATTTAAAGTACCAGATCATTTTACACTGACCGGAGGAGGCTATGGATGTGGGATCACCGATTTTAATTAAACTTTTTTTAGTGCTACTAGGTCATAAAAATATTAAAAATAGTCTTAATTATTTCAATATCTATCCAGCTACCTCCCAAGTACAATTTTCACTTAGTGACAGGGCAAAACAAAGCCAAAAGATGCAAAAACCTATTGTTATAAAATCTGGTCATTAAACAGCCTAGAATAATTGATCTAGAAATCTTATCAACAAATTTTCTTGTTTTGTTCAATTTTAGACAAATTTATGTTCATATTCATCCACAAGTGTGGAAAAGTTAAAGCTTAAATAAATTTTAGTGTAGGGCTCTGTGGAGCAATTTTTATGTATTCACTTCAAATTAATTTACATATTCTTTTTTAAACTCCATACTACAGCGTTATCCGCAAGGTATTCCCAAAACAACAAAAATTAAAACTTTTAAGTATGTACTTATATGAAGTTAGATAACTATAAAGGTCATAAAAACATAAACAACTTTGGCTTTACAAACTGAATAATTTTGGCTTATGTGAATTTATAAAATAATATCCATTAAAACACAACGGTGCGACTAATAAACCAAATATAAATAATATTGTCGAAAGGAAAATTAAATATTTAAAAAAAGAGGTTTTTTACCGCCTCTGAACTTGATTGCGACGTCTGCTGTGGTAGGTGAGAGTGGTAGTACGTCTATGGCCTATCCCCGATCCACAAAGTCCCATCCAGGGTTATATTCTGTTATCACCATAACAAAATTTAAAACCTTCGCCCCGTAATACTTTAACAGTCCATCCAGTAATAAAACCCTTAAAAACCCAGTTAGGTGCGTTTTTTGTATTTTTTTTCAAATGTTTTCGTGCCAAAGAACCAGTTTCAGCTTATTTGAGTCGGATGAATTCTTTTTTTAGATAACTGCTGCGTCTGGTACTCGGAGGATTTAAGTCACACTGAACCACTTAAATAATATAATGGGTCTAAAAAACGAAATGTTCTTTTGATAGTAAAAGAATTAATTTTTGATTTTTTTTTTACTTTTTACATTCAGTTTATCCGGGTTGGAAAATCGGTTCTCGCAGGTGAGTTATTCCCATTTATTTTATCTCATTTAATTGACACACATCAAAAATTCTGTTATTTTATTTTTATTTTTTTTTACATACAAGGAAGTCTGGTATTAATTCAACTATGTACTAAAATAAACAAGAATTACCAATTAACTAATCGTTCTAAGCATAACAATAAACTACTCATATTAGAGAGATATGCTGAGTTGGAACCCCTCATAAAAGATATTATTGTCATCTGCTTACCCAGACACTGGAGGGCAACAAATGTGCAAACGATGTAGCGAAAGCTAGGATGTCTCGCTCTCATGGACCACTTCAATTCAGCCCAGGTCGTACAATCAGTATAGAACATGATAGAACGCTGGCAATGTCACTGGGTTGAATTGTCTGAGAAACACTTGCATCAAGAGCACGACTGAGAAGTCTAAAATGCAAGATCGTATTCACCCATTTGAGCATAGGCCATACACGATTGACACATGGACACCTGGATTTGAGGCGAGCCCCGCGCAGGTGTCTTGTATGTAGAGAGAGCTCGCTCAGTATCACACTTGGCCGAGGAGTGCCCTGGCTCCTTATAGGCAGCTGGTAGGCAAGGTATATAAAGCTCCTGTGTTGTTGGGTCCCCTCTTCCAATTTTTAAAAGAAACGGGGGTGTTTCCCGATCTTTAGAGTGGAAATATTGCATATAATATTTGTGTGAATGTATATAGTCATGTGAATAAGTGAGTGGGCTGATGGCAGAATGACTACCCCATCAGTCCTTACAGTGCATTGGGGGCAAAAAAGAAAACAACAAAAAAACTGCGATCCAGCCCCTTGATGCTAAAAATGTAATAAAAAGCATGATTAAAACAATAGAAATAATAAAGGTTCTACTCACAGATTTATAAAAAATTCTCAACTCTGTGAGTAGAACCATCGTTTGCAAAAAGTGTTTAAAACAAAGTGGCAGTTTGGAGAGCGTGATTGGCAGTATCACAGTTGATAAGTGGCCCTTGGAGGACCTGACTCGTAGAAGGGCCAACCTCAAACTTGAGGTGATTCGAGATGATGCTGGCTCTGCTTACCACGTCTGCACCAATTCCCTCAATGTGGCGTGATAGGTTCTCGGTCAATGCTCTCGTTGTGCTTTTGTTTGAAAAATACCATGGATCTTGGCAAAACAGTGGTTGTCTGGGACTCAGACACATAGGTTTGTACAGTAATGAAAAGGCAGATGAGGCCAGGTCATCCCAACATCCTGATTAACCATCGCAATCCGGCCTCCTGATGCTAAAAGTGGAATAAAAAACATAATTAAAAGAAAATGGTAGCATCGGTGGTCCGGATCGGTAGAGCTCTTGTGTACCATTGTCAATAGGTGGCACTCAGAGACCTGACTCATAGAAGAAGGGTCATCCTCATCCCATTAAGAATAGGCCATGCTAGGTTAAACCTTTCAAGCCAAACCCCAAAACATATGTGTCCAGCATATGCATAATAGATCAATACTGAGTGTGGTGCACAGGTCGTAAAGAGGCCGCTCCTACTTTTATCTTAATGTGTCTGGAATGTAGAGAAAGATTTGATGTATCCCACTTGTCATTCCTTGGCTTCATATAGGGAGAGTGTTGGAATGCCACCTGATATGAGATTCGCTTGAGCACGACAGCAAATTCTTTGGGGTCTCCTGTTCTGATTCTTGAAGGAAACGGTTGTTTAATTGTATATAGTATATAGTAATGATACTTTTGTGTCTCTAGCATGTGTCAAGAGTGAATGTGTTTATTAGTGTGAATGTGTAGTGTGAGAGCCAATGGTGGAATATTGAGCCTTCGACCCTCAATTGGGTTAGTTATATAATATGTGTAAAGGGTGATAGAGGAATTCGAGTACTCCACCACTTCAAGAAAGAATGTATTTAAGAGTGAGTGAGAGTGTGAATGGGTTTTGATTTAGGAACTGATTGTGTTGGGGGCTGAAATGACCTAGCTGCTGATAACCCCTGGTTCCCAACCTTGGTGACTAGACAGATAAGACCAAGGTCTGACCCTGGACTGCCAACAGGTTGGGTGATTCTCAAGGTCTGTCGGTAATTCCTTGTAAATTAGAAAAGCTGGACAGCATTGCTTTTCCGAAGAGTTTACTGTTTCCACGCCAATGCTAAACATAGGACATGTTCCGATGTTTCTGCTTTTTCACGTCAGAGTCTGAGATTGGTGCATTTTTTTTTTTAAGTTTGCAACTGAAAGGGCCTTCATCCAGGCCTATCATTTTCTTTAATTCTTGCCTACTGAGAGTAAATTTTTGTTTTCCTGGTTGAGATGTCGAGGAACTTATTTGTTTTGAACCTGTTGAATTCATCCATTGTCTGGTCATTTTTCCATCCTTCAGTCCCACTTTTAGCATGGTTGGGCTGCTCCTACTTTTAATGTCAGCCTGCTATTTTTCTTTCAATCCCCTTGTGTCCTGACACCCACATCAATCACCTGACTTTGTTTCCCAGGAGTTGGAGATAAATAAGGCATTCTCAGACCAGCTTCGAGTTGAAACTGGAGGAACCCCTTGGTACTGTTTGGCTATCTGTTCACCTTTTAATTATTTTTGAAATATTTCTTGTTCTTTTTTTCTATTTTGTACCTAAAGTTTCATCTATTGTTTCAACAACATCCAAATAGCTCACTAATTTCTTTCATCCCAATATTATTACCAACTATATCATGTTTAAACCTTTATTTGGAGATGAAACTCTGTTCATCATAAAGTCTCATGAAGTTGATGAATGAAGTTAACATTTTCTAACTTTCTGGTGTTCTAACACAGAGTATTTTCTTTGATAATTTTTTATTTTCTTTGGTAATTTTTTGGTAGTTTCCATTCTGAAAATTTTCTATATTCTCGTGTTATTTTCTTACTGCTATTTCATAAGTTATCAATTTTATCTTTCTCAGTTCTTTTTTTTTCAAAACCCTTAATTACCAATCATCATTTGTTGCAGAAATGATTACATTGACTCGTAAATTAAAGAAGAACAATGAAGATGTCCGTTATCTTCAAAAAAATCACCCTCGACGTGTCTCCATCAGGGACAAACTTCTTGTTAAGGAGGTATTTTTGACGCTTATTTATGTGGGTTTATGAATAGACAAAATAACTTATTTTTTCTTATTTTATAGTTTTGTTTTTCTTTTATTAAATGTTTTATTAAAGCGATTATCTAGTCTACAGAAAAACTCAGCATCAAGTAAATTAAATTTTATTTTCAGACGCTGAATATTTTTTTAATTAGATTACTTTTTATTCACTTTTTTATCAATTTATTTCATAGATGGCCTTTAATCCAGTGTTAATAAGTTGTAGTTGCCTGTAACAGATATAATTTTAATGGTATATGTTTTAAAAATGTCATTGTAAATAATTAATTTAAAGTGTTTGTTCTAAAATAAAAGAACATTAATTATTTTTTTTAAAATCTTGTCATTTCAGGTGCAAGAAATGGAATCCATGCTTCCGACCACGTGTTCTGTCAAATTCGTAGACCCTCATAAACTTCATGAATTTTATTTAATTGTTTCCCCCGATGAGGGTTTTTGGCAGGGAGGAAAGTTCCGGTTTCACATTTTTATTACTGAAGATTATAATATTGCAGTAAGTAATTTTTTCTTTAACTGGATGCTTCTATGATTCTTGATTGATCCTTATTCGTGCAATTAGAATATTTAATTGTTAGAGAAATTTTAATTTCTGTACTCTTAAAAGGAAGTTACAGATGTGGGATCACTGATTTTAATTAAACGTTTTGGTGATATTAGGCTGCTTAGACAGGTGTCAAAGCGTTCCCGCCAATGGGATGAAAAATATTTTAAGTTAGTTAAATACTTCTTTCAATTAAAATCTTTTTATGTAAGGTTTTGGTTGAAATGAATAAATTTAAAAAAAGTTATAAAAACCTATAGTTTTCGGCTGGGTTCGAATCCCGCTCGTGACACTAACTTTTTCATTTCAACCAAAACCTTATGTAAAAAGATTAATTACTTGAAAGAAATAATTTGGTCACTAGACCACTAAATATAACGGATTAGTTAAATACTATAATTGTTGTAATTTTTTTTTTTCTGTTTTTGTTCTATATTTATTTCAATCTTATCTTATTACAGGAAATGAAAATAACTTGTATTAGGTGGTATTTTAGTATATAGTAGACAAAAATGTCTTTTTTTTTAAACGAATTTAAAATTGTTAAAAGTAAGGTTAGGGTTCAGGTTTGGGTTGGGTTGAGGTTCGTGTTAGTGTTAGGAACAGGTAAGGTTCGTTTAGGTAGAGTTAGAGTTAAGGACAGGTTAGTGTTGGGACAGGTTAGGTTAGTTTATGTAGGGTTTGGTTAAATATCCATGATTCAGTGTTTTTCAATTTTTTTTTAAGGAAAGCAATTCGGATTTGTTTTAAGCACTCTTTAAAACCATTCAATATCAATTTTCATTGCAATAAAAATATATATATTTATATAAAATTATATAAATATATATATTTATGTAAAATTATATATTTTGCCAGAGGTATTTTGTTTCTGATGTCCAGTATTGCACTTAAAAATTCATAACTTCTCTGAATTTTATTCACATTGAACTTTTATACAATCGTTGAAAAGCTTCTTTTAGCTTATATCAACAAGGTTAAGATTTTATGTCATTATAAGTGATAAAAATAGTGATGGAATTGACAAAAATGTTCAAATGTTTTTTTTATATCACCAATTGGAGTCGTTTCAAAGTTAACACTATTTTTGGGACTTTCGTGAAAAAAATTGCAGGCATCTGGAATGCTAAACATTTGATAAAAAATGTTTATTTTTGTTTTCAAAAATTTGTATTTGGTTTTTTAAGGGGTGAAAAAAAAACCACTTTGTTTCTTGCTTTAAAAAAAAAGTTATCTACTTTGCTACATCATATAGGGGTTCAGAGGCGTCAAAAACCTCTTTAAAAATATTTAATCTCGGCTTCAAGGATACAATGTATATTTAGTTCATTAGTTATAACTGTAATAATTTCACATTTTTGTCAATCCAAAAATTACTGTTTTCAGAGTTAGAAGTATCGACCACTTTTTTCACTCACGAACACTATGGATCAAGGTATGGTCTTGAAGAAAACGTATTGCATTTTTACAGGCAATACTGTTACAGTCCTTGGCAATGTTGAGACTGGTTGGCCTTCAAAGAAATTTGAGATTTCCTGTAAAAAAAACTTAAATATTTAAGATTGTTTTGCCCTCATGATGACCTTAAAATAGGTTGAAAGCTTGACAGTAACAACTGAATTTGCGTTTTTCTTCAAGACCATACCTTCATCCAGAGTGTTATGAATTCAAAAATTATGCAGTTTATAACGCCAAAGTTATGTTTTTAGATCCCTTATAGGTATCTAACTAGAAATAACTTTTTTCACCGTATTAGTGAACTTAAAGGTAGTGTAAAGCTAGTTGTTTTATTGATATGTTACAGATTACGCTATAGTACGAATTATTAAAAAAAAAAAATCAAAGTTATTTTACAAGTGCATGGATACTTTAAGAGCTGTTGTGGTCCTTCCGAGCGCTGTTAAACCTTACGGGCCCTCACAAGGGCTGGTATTATACCCAGGAAGGTCCCAACTGTTCTACCCTACCGGGAAGCCCGCAACCGTGAGCTCTACGGTACAAGACCCCTTTCAGGCAGATGAGAAGGGCACTCCTAAATCGTGGGCTCTGTAGAGCCGGCGAGGAGGCTTTTGGCCCTAAAAAGGACCGTTGAGTGAGAGGTAGAGCTTCCCGGTATGGCAGAACAATTGGGACCTTCCTGGGTACAGTACCGGCCCTTGTGAGGGCCCGTAAGGTTTAACAGCGCTTGGAAGGACCACAACAACTGGTGATCCCCCGACGTGGACACGCATCATGGATGATGCTAACACCAGCAATCAGCCTCAGGAACAGTCACAGGAAGTATCTGCTGTGGGTCCGGCACCACGCATACCGCCCTTCTGGAGGAGTGACCCTGCCTTATGGTTTATCCAGATAGAAGCCGTCTTCGCTACTTCAAGAATAGCATCAAGTTCTGCTAAATATCAGCTGGTGGTCGCCAATCTCGAATTGGCACAACTACAACAAGTGACTGACATCCTGCGAAATCCTAGCAAGACACCGTACGAAGACATGAAAGCTCGCTTACTTAACACTTTCGAGGAAAGTGAAAGTGTTAAAGTTACGCGGCTCCTTGAACAGACTACTCTCGGAGACGAATGACTGTCACTCTTCCTTCGTTCCATGAGACAGAAAGCTGGGAACCTCGTCTCAGAGGAACTTCTACGGAATCTGTGGCTAAGAGCTCTTCCCAAAAGGATGCAAGAGATCCTCGCGACTGTTGACGTCGCAGACCTCGACAAATTATCTATAACGGCAGATAAGATAGCCAAAGTCGAGGCTGCGAACATTTACGCCGTCGAAAGTTTAACATCATCAACAAAAAATTCTGCTGTAGACACCTTGTCTCAACAAGTAGCCGAGTTGGCAAAAAAACTCGAGTTTCTGCAGGGACAGCTCCGATGTCGATCGCGAAGCCGCCCACGAACTCCCTCACGGAGCAGGGATGCCACCCCGGACCAGAGGAACCTATGTTTTTATCACCGGAAATTTGGTGATAAGGCACGACGGTGTACAGAACCCTGCGAAAAACGAAAAAACTGATTTCGTTGGCAGTTGCTCGGGCCAGGCCTGCCACCGATGTCAGCTCAATTTCGGCCCATCTGTTCGTCACTGACTCCGCGACTGGAACAACTTTTCTGGTTGACACCGGAGCAGCTGTATCAGTGATTCCACTAGGAATGAAACAACAACAACAACCAGCAGCGAGACCGAGTGATGACCATGAGCTGTACGCCGCCAATGGTACCAAAATAGCTACCTATGGCACGAAAACGCTCATCCTCAACCTTGGCCTCTATAGAGCTTTCAAGTGGCAATTCATCATCGCTGATGTGAAGAAACCAATCATTGGAGCAGATTTCTTGAGCCACCACGGTATTATTGTCGACATCAAGGGACGCTGCATCACCGATGGCGAAACCCACCTCTCTGCAAAAGGACGCCCGGCATTCTCCACCATAGTGGCCCTCTTGACCACTCCAGCAAACAGTCGATACTACGACATCGTACGGGCTTCCCGGTAGGGCAGAACAGTTGGGACCTTCCTGGGTACAATACCAGCCCTTGTGAGGGCCCATAAGGTTTAACAGCGCTCGGAAGGACCACAAGAGCTATACAGAGCTCCAAGCTTTAACTTTTCCGCATCTAACCTTGTCTAAAATTTAAAAAAAAAGATAATTTATCAACAAGTTTATTCTTAAGACTTTGATTAATGTTGCGAATTGTTTTACCCAGCTTCATGATGTTACTGATTAACATTTTGTACCGTTTATCATGATGGGTTGGGCAATATCCTACAAAATTTGAAGCTTCTGAAACTTTTACATATTAATCTGGTGATGAATTTATTTATAGTATATAAATATATAGTACTGATTAAAATGAATAGATTATTGACCTATTTTTTTGTTTTGTTTTAGCCCCCAACAGTGAAATGCCAAACTAAGTTATGGCATCCTAACATAAGTGAAGACGGTGATATATGCCTAAGTCTCCTTCGACAGAATTCCATTGACGGATTAGGCTGGGCACCGACAAGACGACTAAAAGATGTTATATGGGGTCTTAATTCATTATTTACAGTATGTATCATTGTATATATGTGTACAATATTTTATTAATTGTCAAAAACATGTAAAGAGGTATCAAGTGTTCCAACCTTCAAAGAATCCTTCCTATCCACATAGATCCCTATATCCAATTTTGACTCGATACGACGTATGCCTCCATAAAACTGTAAGGGTAAGTAAAAAATTGTGTAAATCAAGATAACCACGTGGGAAAAACATTTCAGGAAGCTATATTTATATTACAGCAAGATAATTGTATTAATATACGTTTGTGTGTGATTGCAGGATTTGCTCAATTTTGAAGACCCATTAAACATCTCTGCCGCTGAGCTTTATATCAAAGATAGAGATGCTTTCAAGCTTAAAGTTCGTGACTACATGCATCAATATTCAAGACGTTAAATGTGCTAATACATATTCGTTTATTTGGGTCTCTTAAATGTGCTTAAGATTTGTATATTTAATATAATAGTTAATGGTAGAATTGGCTGTTGTAAATATTATTGAATGGTTAGAATAACTTCATTACAATAAAATGCCATTGTTAACTTATTTATCATAAATGTTTGTCTGTTTATTGTTCTACTGTCCAATATGTGTAAATAAGATAACCCTAATTTTTACTCTTTGATGGTCTAAATAGTTTTTCTTTTTTGTTATGCAGTTTCTCATTAAAATTTGACTGAAATACATTATGTATTTACTTTTTAGTTTATAATACTAAGGTGTGTAGTAATTTTTATTGTCAGACAAGAAATTATTTTAGTCACAATTTATCGATGATTTGTTTGAGGAAATATAAACGTGAAATAGTTTTGACCTAGTTGAGAGACAAACTGTTAAACTGGTAAAATTCAAGAAATCAATATCTTTATTCGTATTCCAATGCTATAGTTCATTATTACTAATAATAGATTACTATTATTTATATTTTTTTAAATAAATGTTTTTGTTGTAAAAGGCTTACTTTTATGTACACTTTTGTTAGAAGACTTTTTTATCTGTTGATTCACTATTAAATCCATCTCAATTGTAGGCAACAATATGTAATAAGAAATTTCTTATATATTATGTTGTGTTTACTGCCATCCTTAAAATGTTTTTGAAAGATGATTTAAACATTTTAGGTGAATTTGTTGCTGTTCACATACTGATTTACTTGAGTGTCATCTGCATCAACCTTGAGTACTAATGTTTAACTTCCCATATGCGGACACAAGTCGGGAGTAGGATTTTGTCTGTTTATGAGAAGGGTCCACATATAGACAAATTATTAAGAGCGTTAAATGAATGTAAAATCAAAAAGTGATAGAGCAGCAAAATAAGCAACCTAATCCTAACATTAAATCTAACTCTAGCCCTACAACCAACTTAACCTAACCAATCCCTAACCCCCTACTTAAAACTACCCCAACCTAACTTAACCTATTACCCGGTCAAGAGGGATGCCGGTTATGCAGTTATGCGTCTACAATGATTCCAATAGAGTATTTGATGATGTCATCCCACAACATCTCTAATTTTAATCCTAACCCTAACCCTATAACCTAACCTAACCTATTGGCTAGTCATGATTGATGCTGGTATTAGAAGTGTCTGGGCTAGATCAGTGTATTCAATCCCAATTTTGAATTGGACAATTATAACCATCTTGAACCTTATTCCTAACCCTAGGTCTAAAAATAATCTAACCCATACCTAAATTAAACTAACTAGGCCTAACCTTTTGCCTGGTCATGAGGGATGTCAGTAATTAGAAGTGTCCTCTTGGAGAAGTCGTCTATATTCAATCTCAATTGAATATTTTCCATCTTGTGACTGAAAAATTGTTTATAGAAATAAAGTTAAATTTATTTTGTATTTCCATCAAATTATGTTCCGTCAAGGAAATATGGTTAATATGCTTGAATGTTAATTGTTATCTAGAGGCAGCTGGTGAAATCCCACTTTCTCGGATTTTTATTTAAAAAAATGTTTTCATCTCAACTACTTTCAATTTAAATTATGTATTGTTGGAAGAGGAAGAGGATGAGAGACAGTACATGGTCAGAATAACAGTGTGAAGGCGGCAGAAGTTCTTCTCAGGGGGTGTTTTCTTTTTTTTAATTTGTCTCTATTCAGGTGGGTGATGTCTAGTTTGAACAGTTGACAAGTACTTTTGGAGGATCTAACTAGCCCACTCTTCACCAAAAATTGTTGAATCATGCTCGGTTTTGAAGCATTGCATTTTGGGTCATTCTCAGTTATACAATTTCTTGTCCAGTCTAACACCAGGTCAACTGCTGAAACTCAAATCCTTCTTTTCTAGTACTTATCCTAAAAGTTTATCAGATTGTTTCTTCCGTTTTATATGCCGATTCTCAACATCTCCAAAGCACATCTCTGGTGTTCCTCAAGTGTTCATCGGAGGTCTCCAGCATACATACACATACACAGCAGACCTTGTAACACACTCACCTTCAAAGCGAACATCGATCCTATTGCAGTTTTATTCTTCCAAGACCACCGTACCTTAGAAAAGCAATTAGAATGGAAAAAGGAATTAATCAGCTTCAAAAATAGTACAAATTAAGAGATAGAGGAGTAAAGAAAGAGAGGCAGATTTTAAGAGATTGTATGAAGACCTTCCTTCTAGTGGGCTTTTTCACGTTTTAATCCTAATAGTTCTTCCTTTTCTTCCAGCCAAGTTACGATCAGACTATTTAGGATTACAGTAGACCTTGTTATCCATGATTTCATCCATCCACGGTTGCCCCCCCCCAGTTAAGGTCTAGAGGAGATCGACCATAATAGAGGATAAAATAAAAGAACAACAGGAATCAACATAAATTTTTTTTGAGAAATCTTTTAATTAGATCAAAAGTTGAAAGACAAAATCAACAACAATGTTCTTGGAGAAAGTTGAAGGAGCAAACTTAGATGATTCATCACCTTCTACTGTGGAATTTAATTCACATTTTTTTACCAATTTTATCTTTTTCTCATCAATTTCGATGTCAGGCATAGGTGCATACCTGTTGAAGTATGTATGTATGCACATATTGTTTTCCTCTGTGGAATAAACTTTATGTATGTTAATATATTTATTGGAAAAAATCTGAAATATGTGTACTCAAGTTCAAACAAAACATTGACATAGGCACACACAATGCAGAAAGTGTCTGATTGGTATTCCGTTAGAAGAAAATGCTTTGAAGCCTGAAATTCGAGTTGTTTCCTATTATCCACAGATAATGGGAAACTGCATTACTGTCTCTCTCTCTCTTTTCTTTATCCTATTGCTAACATCTCTGTACCTCAAGGCCTCGTAAATTGTGTATAAAATAACACAAATACACATAACTCATACTTTGGTTAGCATTCACACTAAAAAACAGGGTAATTAAGGATAAGCCTCTTCATTCACACAAATAAATAATTCGCTCATCACATGCACAATACAAAGATTTATAATCAGTTAAAAAAATTTAGCACCTGAGATTGGATCAACGATCTATGCCTTCTGTCTGTTTGACTTAGCCTACTTTCTTTGCAGTCTATGCTCTACCAAGATTTGTCATGTGATCTCTGGCCTCCCTTTAGAAGGTCTCTGTGTGAGATCTTGGTATGACCTATGCTTATTCACTTTTTATTATATTGGCAGTGTTCTTTTTAAACAATTTTTATTATCGTTTTTAATTATAATCTATTTTAATATCATTTTATTTTAGCATGATTTATTGATAATAAATTATGATTTTGGTTCCTTTTTTTATTATTTGTATTATTAATTTTTTCCATTTTCTTACTTGGAATTTAATTGATCTTGTATGCGAAACATTCATTTATTTCAGAAATTTTCATATTAATTCAGTGATTTGTTTAGGTAAGCCCACTTGCAATCACGTAAAATTTAGGTACAGGGAATTTAACTTTTATGTCCTTACCAAAAGTCAAAAACAGTTATTGTTTATAAAAAGTTAAAAGCTAAGATAGCTTTATTTTATAAATTTATTTGGCAGATGATTAAAAAAACAGCTGTATTTATTAAATTAAAAAAAAAAAGGTTTTATTGTTTGTTTCCAAGGTGATTGTTTGCAGTTTAATACAATAAAATATTGACAAAAAATATTTGTGAAAATGGTTATCACAAAACCTTATGTAATAATGGTAATGCTGAAAGTACGAGAGAGGAGGAAGTTTGAAAAGAAGGTGAGACGATTGCTGGAAGATAAGTTGTTGATGCTGGATAAGAAGCACGATTTTAAACAAGCAACGGTAAACGAATATGAAAATTGGTCAATGTATGGGCGTTGGGAAAAGCTGGATGTGCAAAAGCTTCCAAGGGTGTTGAGGCAAGGGGAAAAAGAAAAGCGCAAGACACGCTCGACTGACCGAAGAATGATTTCACAGAGTAAGGCCCGCACCTCGTCAGACCGTTTACAAATATCAAATTCCATCATGGAGCAAATAACACCGTTGTTGGTGGAGCATGGAATGCCTTTGGAGAGGGATTGGATATCGGAGCTGCGTCGAGGTCATCCTTCTAAGTCTGGAGATTTTTCCAAGGCTTCGGAAGAAGGAAGGTCTTCGACGATGGAAGATGTCTCGCCATGGGCGTTAACTCGAGCCGGTTCTTCAATGACTAAAGAAGATGTTGAATCGCGTTCAGGAACTGAAGAAATAATCCCTTGGCTGTCTGAGCACCATGAACCTTCTGAAAAGATGGAAAGCAATTCTTCAACTGTTGAAATGAAAGAAGGAGGAGATGAATCGTTTTGGGTTAATAAGCAATCGACGCCTTCGGCATCTATCACACAAAAGATGTCTGTTGATATCGTCTCTGTAATAAAATCGTACAGGGCCGCTGGTTCGGGCGCCTCCAGCTGCCAGTCTCAGGAAAAGGACAAAATGCCTGTACACATTTTCTCATTAGATAAAGAAATATTCCCTTTCTTGATGAAGAAAACGCGAGAGTTTAATCATAACAGGATCCTCAATAGACAGAGACCGACTCTGAACAGCATTGTTAACATTCAAGAAGCTGCTCTGCACAACTACACCCTTCTTCAAATGAAATACTCATATTATCTGGGAAACGAAGAAAGCGATGCACGCTACTTTTATGAAGATTCATACCTTGTGGAAGAAGACAGGTTACTGGGTCTGATGATACTAAGATGGCAAATGAAAAAATTCCAATGCGCAAACCATCTACCATACGAACGACTTACCATTAGGTAACTTTATTAATTTATTTGATTCAAATTGAAACATCACACTTTTTCCACGCTGTGGTTTTCTCAAAAGTACTCAACATAGAAAAAGGGAATAGTTTTTCATGAAAAACATATTTTCTAACTGCTCAGTTAGAAAATATACAACTAAGTCCCTAACTTACCCGTAATCCCAACCCTAGCTAACCTAATCATAACTTGTCCCTAACCTAGTATAACTCTAACCTATCCCAACTCATGTGCACATCCTGATAGTGCGAATATGGTAGCAAAAATTTACTGTATCGAGGTCATTTTTTCTCAAATGATGACCCACATTTTCATTTTATGAAAAATGTCAGATTTATTTTTGAGTCTCTGCAGTTTGGTCGTTTCTGGTTTACTATGACAAACTCTTTTGGCCTTTCACCATCTTCAGTGGTTGGTTTATGAATTTATAGGCAAATAAGTAATTAGGAAGACCAATATTCAGAGACAACTAAGTTTACATATGTATCATTATGACTATTACTTGTTCTGTTTAAAATAGTCTGCTGCTAGTATTTATTCTAGATTATACAATATTTTTTACTTTTTTTTAATGAACATTTTCACGTCACCGGGGGTTTAGGATGGTTAAATTAAGTAGGGTTAGGGTTAGGAATATTCAGGTTTGCTAAGGTTAGGGACTGGGTAGGTTCTCAAGGTGGTTAAGAGTGTATGAGGGTAGTCCTTAAGCATGTATCTACTCCTTAAATGACCTGTTTATTGTACCGTATTTTTTTTAAATTTATATTGTTATTTTATAGCAGAGCTAATATTTGATACGTTCTTTTCTTGGCAGCTCCGCTAAGTTTAGATCTTTCCTCGGTAATTTTGTAAAGTTTTGTTTCCTTTCTTGCTGAATTTCAGCTGAATGTATAGTTAGGGATAGGAGCCTTTCTTCATTTACTTCTTCCATTTTAGTTTTTTCTGGGGTATTGGTCTTGAGGGAAGACTTGAGCCCTCCATAAAGAAACTAGACCCCTCAGAGATTTGTAATGGTTGGTAAGTTGAAAATTGGCTGAATTTAAAAAAAGAGCCACAAAATTTATTACGTCCCTTGTCTGATAGTTATAGGCAGCGCTTCTATGCTGTTGGCCCAGTTTCCTTGGTGAATAATAAATATTTATATATAGTTTCTGCCGTTAATTTATTGGGGTCCGTAAATATGATTTACACGCGTAAACATATCGGTAGGCTAATGTCTAGGCTTAGGGCGAAAAGAAAATACGAATCGAAATTGAAGAAACTGCTGCAGAACAAGCACACTTCCCTGGAGACGGCGGGCCAGCTTGAAAATTGGGCGGCCGACGGAAGACTAGAAAAATGGGAAAAGCTCGACAAAAAACTGGCCTCTTCTTGGGACAAAAAAGCCCAACAGGATGCCGTTGTCGATATTCCAGTGGAAACACAAGAGTATGGCAAGGGAGAATCCGGCTCGCCTATCCGCCGCAAAACAATATTTTCGATAACCCACGAAGAAAGTAGAATAAAAATTTGCCCCGTGCCGGGGGATACGTTTTCAAATTTACTTCAGAAATTTTACCAAGTGCATCTAAGCAAAAAAAACCAATTGCCAGAAACTCGCACTCCCCAGGGGAATGACATGTCAACGGTTCGGGAAATGGCGTTAAATAACATCCAACTTTTGAGCAAAAAATTTGACAAGTTTTTGTCAAAACAGGTCGGACAGGTGGATAAAGATCAAATGATATTTTCCATCATACATCAGTGGGGAGTAAAAACAAAATTATACACCCCGACCTATTTATCTGAAGGTTTTATTCTAAGGTATGAGTTAGATTTTTTCCTTCAAAATTTTACACACTACTACGATGCTAAAAACATTTTTAGTTAGTGGTTATTATTCGGAGTGTCAACTGGTTGAAAAACTGGTTTTTCTCAAAAACACTCAACCTACAAAAAAAAAGAAACAGATTTTCTTCCAAGAAAAACAATGAATCATTAATGTATGAAACAACACGTCCCTAACCCTATCAAACCTAACCATCCCTAATTGTATCTAAACTAACCTAATCAAACCCGTCCCTAACCCTACTTAACCTAACCTAACCATCCCTAGCCAATCTAACCAATCCCCAACCCAACTAATGCGTTCATCCGGTGAAAACGGTAAGAAAATAAATGTATCGAGCCCATTTTTTCCTCAAATGGTAACCATATTTTCGTTTCATTTTATAAAATATGGCGGCAACCATTTAAAAATTATGTTATTTGTATTGTAAATTATGTTATTGTATGCTAGATTTAGATTTAGAATTGGTTGAACTTCCACTGGTTTTTCCAAAAAACTACACCAACTATAAAAAAGATGTAAAAAAATGAGCAGGGTTTCACATTGACCGAATCCAAGTTTTTGTTGGAAAAGAAACAAGTTCTTCCCAACATTCTTAATTCTAGCTTTTTTTTTAGAATGCACGAGACGGTATACTTGTAATCTTTTACAATAATATTTAATCATGCATATGAAAACTAACCTGTCATTAACTTAACCCTAATCATAATCCTAACTCTATATAAACTAGACAGGCTAGAAAAAATGTATCCAGCCTATTTTTCTCAAATGATGATTTCACTCAATTGATTTTTTGAATTTTCATTTCATTTGGAGAAAAATGAGTGGAAATATTTCAAAATTGTAAGTGTTTTATATGCTAGGTTGAGAATTGAAATTGAAACTGATTGAATACCCACTGGTTTTCTCAGAAAAACATAACCGAAAACAATTTTTTTTATGAGAAACATATTTTCCTCAACTTCGTCGAAAAATATTGGATCGTGAATATGTAAACTAACCTGTCTCTAACTTAGCCATACTCCTGACCCTACCTAACCTAATCCTAATCGATGTCTAATCCTAATATAACCCTAACCTATTTCTCTACCCATGCTTACATCCTGGTAACACTCAAATGGTGGCAAAAAATTATTTTTTCCAGCTCATTTTTCTTAAACAGTATTTTCATTTTATGAAAGATGGCAGATACTATTTCAATATTACAGTGATTTGTAAACTAGATTGAGAAATGGAATTGTCCAATAAAATTTGAGCTTGGGTTCTCAGTGACTAAATCCAAATTTTTTCTGAAAAAGAATCAACATGGTTCCACCAAAACATTCATCAATTTGTCTGGCAAATTTTATTTTATTTATTTATTTATTTTTTTGAGCATGTAATATTGCATACTAATAATCTTTTACCATGATATTTAGAGAAGATTTAACGCGTTGACTTTTAAAACAGATAAAGGAAGATTATTAAATAGATTGAGACAGTAATTATTGGCAATAAACTTTCAATAGTTATTTTTATTTATGTATAACATTTCTTTTGTCAGAAAGGAGTTACAGTTTGAAACACCTTTCAGTTTAAATTTTTTTTCTTGCTTGTTTGCTGGTCTTTTCCTGTTGTGAAATATTCACCACTTAATCCTTATTTTCGTTGTCCTTTTTAGTTTCTTTTCTTCGTTGTAGTTCATATCTCATTTAATTTTATATGCGTTATTTTGTTTGAGAAAAGACATTATTTGTCCCGTTTCATTTTGATCTGAGTTTTACTAGGCATAAAACCTAGTAATCGTTAACTGTCAATGTTGTAATCAAATAAATCAATAATTTTGTGAATTTCAGATGGGCCCAGTTTTCAAGAGTGGATAATATAAGCTTTGTGAATGCAGAAACGGCCATAATGAGTCGAGGGTGTCATTTCATGTTTGTAAACCTTAACACAGGGAACAAGTGCATATACAAACTGTGTGAACCGAACGAAGGGGAGAGGATAAATTGTTTTTGCACTGACTCAACCAGATCGATCATTGCTTTCAACGGGGCCAAGTCATATCAAATAGTAATCATGGAATATCTGACTAAAAAAAAGCTTTCAATTCTCGATGGTAAACGATTTGTGTTTAGTGTTATTGCATATTTTAATTAATTTAGTTTGCAGATTCCCTCAAGGAAGATTATTTGTATCTTGCCATGGGTTATGGAAATCTTCTTTATGCTTTAAGAGGATATCCATCGTTTAGAATGACTATATGGAATTGGAAAACAGCAGAACTTTTGCATACTATGCGTAATACAGTAGTGACCAATGATGTTTTCATTAGGTAAGATGCTTAATTATAAATAGATAATAATAAGGAAATAAAGAAATATAATGGGATTGTAAAATAAATCTGTAGCATTTTAAGCCTTATGTCTGTAAAGTGTCATTGGTGATAGCCCCAGGTGGGGAAAGAACATAAACCCGTGGATCACTCTTTAATACTTTTAATCTTAGCATTGTGCACAGGGCTTTATTGAGAAGGGGCCGGTGTCTAGTCACTACCGACACCTTCTCCAAAACTCACTGGCGATTCTTTGCTCAGAGTCCAGGGAAGTATTGTCAGTACAGCTCAAGACTGATGAGCACCCAAGGACTCGGACAGGCACCACACCGCTAAAATTTTAAGGAGGGTTCTGGCATTTAAGGGTCCATTCAAAATTATGAGTGAGGCAAGAGTGGCTGATTCCAGTTCCAGAGGCAAGAGTTTCTTCTTTTTGAGAAGGTCTTGAAGAGGATTCCCATTTTTCACATCTTTGTTTTTTTTATCATGAGGAGCTTGTTTTCTGTGCAGGCCATTCAAGCTTCCTGGCCTTTCAGTTGAGCTGCCTAAAGAGGCAGCAGAAGTTACTGAAGAACCCCTTTCTTATACAAGCGTTTCAACGCATTTTAAAGCAGCTGGATATCAATGTACTGGTTTCCTTACAGCTGAATGAAAATAATTTTATTACAGTTCATCTTCAAAAGATTTATAATTGGGGATGGAATGTGGGTCTTTTACAACAATGTTCAGAGAGGAAAATCCAGAGATGAAACTTTACTTCAATAAAAAACTTAAAAACTGGGTAGTGGAATAAAATGGTTCATATAATGTTAATGCTTTGGACTTTTACAACCTGATATATCAAACTTTGCCATTCTATTTTTAATTGAAACAAAATTTTTAGAGCACATCCTTCGGAAACCTCTTGCTATATAATGAACACCAACTGTGGACTCACATACATCTCGAAACATATTATTCACATGTTCGGCAGACTTTGTATTGTCGATGAAATCGAGTTGGATTTTTATCCAAGGACTGTAGTTTATGACGCTTGCTTTAGCCCAAAAAATAATATCTATTTTGTAGATGACAATGGAAATATTTACGGGGTGAGCTGAATGAATTTTTACACAGACATGAATATAAAATTTCTAATTTTTAACTTTATTTGCCCAGGTATCTCCAAAATATGAGATATTCAAGTTGTACTCCTGGAAGGTGAAAATTTGCGAAGTAGGGGTTCTTGGTTTGCCTTGTAAACCCGTCCTGCAAACCGCTATTAGCTGGTACAAGAAAGGTTTATTAGTGTTAGGACCGAGCGGCTATCTTAGGGTAAGTTTCGTACACTTTTTTTTTGTGAATATGATTTTCTTACCCATCCAAATACTTTTCAGTATTACAAGATGAAATTGAATAAAAGTAATGAAAAAATTATGATTCTCTCCCTGGAAATCAAGCGAGATACTGTGAAAGCATTATTAGCAACAAACAACATTGCGACTAAGGCTATACTTCATTGCGAGAAGGTCAGTAATTTTTTTTTGTATTTTATACTTGTTGTTTATTTAAAAATAAATAAAATACAAATCTACTCTGAGACTTTTTTTATTTACAGGCTGGGCTGTGCACAATCAGGGATAAGAAGTTGGTTGTTATAGAGGATAATAGCAAGCTTAAAGTTTCATGCATGGACTTCTTAAATCCTACGTGCCATTATTTTGTAACGGCTTATCGTGAAGACATTCATGTCTGGTCTAGAATCACCGGCCAGCTGGTATGTTTAACTTGAAATTTTGACCAAATGTTACATCATGAAACAACTTTAATATTCGTGCTTATTAAAGTAGTAGTTAAGTAGTATGTATAAGTTATTGGCTGACAAACATAAAATGTAAAATTCTGCATTTTTCCTTTCACACATTTTAATTAATTGGCGGTTTAAATATTCATATTAATTCCTGTCCTTTGTTATAGATGAATTCATTTTATGTGACGATCAATGTTGGTGCAATAGTATGCCATCCGTACCATCCTTACATTATTGCGACAAGTGCAGACACTGGGTCGTTTAGAGTGATTGATTTACGGTTTATAAGGAAACCCAATCAACTTTATGACATGTGGGTTTCAAAACAGTTACTCACATCAATCAGATTTTCAGGCGATGGGAAACGAATGATTATTTTAAGCCCTGAGAACAGGTTGTTGATATTTAAGGTAGGCCCTTAACAGATTTTTTTTCTCTTGATTACAATTTCTTTTTTTAATTTAGATTTTATTTAGGCTGATCCAAAAATATTTTGTTTCGAACAAGTCTACGAAGTGGATGTGCCAATTAGATCCTTCATAACATGCAGGAATCCCCCGTCCTGTGAGCTGCAAATTCTCTCGCTGGACGTCCCACGAGTAAATACCGTCAGGTCTCATTTTACCCTCTACTGGCTACCTTTGAGATACGGTGGCGATTTTTACTGTACGGACACATATTCAGAAATCGAGCCATGTTACAATCCGACCAATACATTCTTCGCCTTCACAGACCATCGGAAAGAATTACACAAGATATCAATTGACACCAGAGGCGTATGTTTATTCAAATATTATTTATATAGCATAAATATTTTTTGCCAAAATGTTGAAATTTTTGGTATAGAGACTTTAAAACTTTAATTTTTAGAGATTTTGTGTCAATCAATTGATTTGATGACTCATCGATCATTGCTCATCAATCAAAATTTAATATTTTTAATAGTTTAATAAAGCTAACTATTAAAAAAAAAATTTATAGCCTGCAAATATAAAAATACGTATTACAAATATACCATGGGACATAGGGTCAGGATTGAGAGGTTTGTGTGGCATTTTGTATGTAGGAACTGTTCATTGTCGTAATAAAACACTTTGACTTTTTTTTTCCCATCCACCTCCCTGCTGTACCTAAGGAGACCCCATAACGGCGGACCACGGCCACTAAACTAATTCAAATGGGATGCAAGTTTAGGGGATATTATTGTGCTTAACGTCTTCCTACGACCTTGCCCTGAAAGAGAAGACCCAAGGAAGAAGGGAAATTTTTTTTATTATTATTAATTTATCTAATCTAATAGGTCTCCCCCTTGCTGGTTAATCCTTTTGAATACACTTTCTAATAAATACAATATTTTAATAAATAAATAACAATTATGGGTACAAGGAGTAACCAGCCTGGAATTAAAAGTTCAGCGAAACGCTAAGATCACAAAACACTTTGACTATTTATCTGAGGATTTTTGATTGGAAGGATTGGATATACTCGATATGGCTTGTCGGCATCACATCATTCTACCTTGCCCAGCTTTGTTGCCTATCTTATCTATAGCCTAGTGGTTTATGATTCTATTGATCTGCCTAGTCTTGCTGCTTTGCTTTGTCAGGCCTTGTGATCAGAAGCAAGGTTCTCAACAAAGAAGATGTGAACTACATGATCCATGGCGATTCAACCACAATTTTCAGGTAATAGTAACTTCAAAGACCACATTCTAGATGTCATCCAGTTGGTGGACCTGTAGCCTGGTGGCTTACGATCCTTTTGGCCCGCCTAGTTTCGCTGTTTTGCTCTCTCAAACCATTAAAAAAAGGCATAACTAGATCTGTGTTGTGTGCCCTGATGTCTAGGTGTATTCCAAACTATCTGATTCGAGTGAAGATTGCTCCTTATTATTGACTGTTGAGTGTATATATTTTTTCCTCATTCAGTGTTCTCGAATTTTTGAACCAGTCTTAAATAAATTTACTGTTCTTGGATGTTAGAGTTTCTTGGATAGAATTTGGGTTAAAAGACTTTGGTGTCATTTGGTGTTGGGATTTTTAAGAAAGACAGCAAAATGGTAGAATGGGACCTAAAATGTTACCTTGTGTGACACTGTCTTGTATCAATCTAATATCCAAGTTGCTGCACTCTGAAGCAACGATCAGTTAAATAGGATTCCAGTATAAAGTAATAAAGGGTGGATAAGAAGGGTTTAAGGTTATGAAATATGCCTGGGTGCCAGACAGTATCAAAAGCCTGCATCACTTGAAACTTGTTACTTTAATTTGTGTAAACTCAATTTTTTTTTTGTTTTTGTATTTCAGCCATATTTATCGACAACGAAACTTGTTGTTGTACCTCTTGTTCAATGTTTCCCAACTGTACCGAGAATAAGGTGTCTGCACGACCATCTGATTATTTATGGCAAGGATGGTTTAATTCACATTCTGGACGATACAGATTTAAGGTGTTTCGCTTCATTCATGAATCACCACAGATTCGATGGTGGTACGAAACAAGTCATAATCGACAATCGTAGTCGTCACGTAATCTCTCTTGGCGAAGATGGCGTTCTGGCTTGCTATGCTTTACCAAGGTATTATTTTCTATCTTTTTTTTACAGTTAACGTATAATAGAACTTTGTACTTACTTAGGGTGGGCTATATTAATATAAAGCAATTTATATTTGTACTAATCATTAAAAGTAATTCTAATTCAAGAAATTGTTTCAGGAAAATTTGTGGCCATAAGGCACATGTTATTCCTCACAGAGAGAACTACATTCCTTTGCCTTATCGAAGAATAAAAAATTGGATTCGTAAGTTCTAGTATAATTGAATACTCAGGATATTTCCCTTTATTTATTTAATTTAACCTCTGTGGGGTTCTGGTATTTTTTGGGAAAAAATGGAAATACTGAGTAAAATCTCAGCAAATTCGAACCTGAAGTACTCTTACAGTGATGAGTCACCATGTCAACCAGTGCACAGGGGTTCAAAGGCAGCAAAACCTCTTTTTTTTTTTAAATAATTAATAATTTACTTTGGTTTCAATAAAATTTACATTAAAAAAAGTTCATGAACCTCCAAGCTGAGATAGATTATTTCTTTAAGCTTTAACTTTTCCCTATGTGCTTTATGAATACTATCAAAATCTTCATTCACCTTCAATAAAGCTGTAGGTGTACCACAAGGGTCGATACTGGGTCCTACACTTATTTATTTTTCTAAATGCTTCACCAATGCCCACGATTTGCCAATTAAAGCTATATGTTGATGATACTGTCATTTACTGCAAGAAATTTAAACAAAGCTGAAAATCAACATCCCTAAAACATATTTTAAAATCTCCTTGTGTGTAAGTTTTATAGATCCAAAAACCAATATAAGGCGATTTTTTTTTTTTTGCTGCTTTGTCACTTTTGAAGCCTTTATTATTGTTGGTTTTCAAATAAATTTCATTACCAAATGAGTTAATAAAAAGACTTGTTTAAAAAAAAAAAATTAAGAAAGTTTTAAGGTTAAGATAAAAACTCAGCTTCTGTCAATATCTGCACAGGGTGATTTCAGCTACTCCGAGTTTATAGACATGCCTTCTGAGTGTGGAGTGTTCAGTTAACAGTCCTAACATACCTTGATTTAGTAGTGTTGGGTTTAGTTTCTGCGATATTCCTTTGATGAACTTTTTCATGATGCCTCTGCCTTGGGCTTTGTTTCCATTAACCTAGGACTTACTTTTAATCCATTATTTGATGGATCCTCATTTTTGTCAGTTTAGTAAACGACAAAAGGGTTCAGGGCCAATAAGGTTCCTCAACAAGTTTGTTCCAGTCTCTTCTTCTTCCTTGCGATATCTGCAGTCTTGTTTCTGCCACTCCGAGCCTAAACAGATGCCCCTGGAGTCTGCCTTGTCCAGTCAGCAGCCTTATCATTCTAGTCCTAACACGTCCTATGGTTAGCAGTTTTCTCATTAGTTTCTGCGAACTTTTTTGCATATGGTCCTGGGATATAGTCCCATTGAAATGAGGGTTTATTCTTAACCTAGTGTCCAATAGATCTAAGATTTTGGCAATTTGGCATGCCACAAAAGGGCCTTGTTATCACTAGCCTGGAACCCAAACAAGGGTGATTTTGATGTTCTACCCAATGTCCGACAGGACCTTGATGCAAATGGTTTAGGACTTTACCAATGATGTATATGACTCTGGTGTGCCGTGTCCATTAAGCAGTCTACTATCAATCTAGTCCTAACTAGATTTACAAGTTAGTTTCTTTCATGGTCCTTCATCGCTTCTGCCCTGTATAAAAGTGTTAGATGTTCTTCAATTATATACTTCAAGTATTCATAAAAGTAATAATTTGTTTAAATGATTTCAGCTGAATATGAAGCTGGCTTGATGCCTTATGATGACTGGGTGAAAGAAATAAAAGCATATAAAGAAAATAAAGTGTATAAAATTGAAATAACAAAGATCATTCAAGAACTCATTGTATTAAAAAATACAGTAAGTCATCTCAAATCTTACAATTAATTACAATTAATTAAGGTTTTTAGTTGAGATAAAAAAGTCAATGGCACGAGTGGGATTCGAACCCACGATCTTTGGCTAGATACACCGCTGCTCTACCACTTGAGCTATAGTGACCTCGATAAACTCGGACACCAACTTCCCATCTCAACCCCCCCTTTTGAATTTTTCCTCCTTTTTGCCATTTTTCAAATGTCATGTAATCGGATTGGATTCTCGACGACAAATGAAATGGCCATGGAGAGCTTTAGTGAAGTATACTTCATTTTAAATCATTAAATTCACTAACTACACTATGAGGGAAAATTCAAAAGGTGGGGTTGAGATGGGAAGTTGGTGTCTTAGTTTATCGAGGTCACAGTAGCTCAAGTTGTAGAGCAGCGGTGTATCTAGCCAAAGATCATGGGTTCGAATCCCGCTCGTGCCATTGACTTTTTTATCTCAACTAAAAACTTTAATTAATTGTAATATATTAATTGATCAAGCGGACCACGGAATTAGTGAACTTACAATTGATGTTGAAATAATATGTACTACTTTATATTACAGTTTAGTTCCATATTTTACATCAATCAAATGCAAGAAGACCCGGAGGCACGCCTTTCTCTTAACGAGTTATGCATCAATCGTTGCATATTAAAAGATGTATTTGGAAATGTAATGGAGAAGCATAAAAGTGAGATATTAGAGGTTTACAAGAAAAATATTACAATTTTAATGGAATCATTCAACATGATGAAGATATTTTTTTGGGATCCTATGATCCTCCACTTATTTGCTATTAAGGTAGGATTTTTTTTAACTTTACACTCCCAATGAAAGAATTTTGTCATTTTTAAAGGATTATTATAATTTTAGGCGATAAGGGATAGATATGTATGCTCTTCCTATGTAATGCGCCGAATGCCAAATCAATTCTATAAACTTCGCTTCACCCACATTAATCAGCGAATGATCGATGTGCAAGGACCCCAAGAAAAGTGTTTCATCCCATGGGGTATCGAGTAAGTACCGGAATTAGCCTATCCAATCAATTTAAAAATAAAAAATAAATTGTTGGCAGAAATCATGCAAAATGCAAACTTTATGATGTTTAAATAATTAATTTTGCGAATAACATTATATATTGTATAATGTAATTCCTGTGAATAAGGAAAATACTCAGTTTGTTCTGAAGTTCTCCATTTTTAAAAATGTTTTTTTACATAAATTTATAAATAAACTATATTATTTAGGTTGTTAGTGATCATTTTGGTCTGTCATATGTGTTTTACCATCTTCAGTGAGTCATGGACCAGTAGCTTGGTATATATTGATTGTTTTGGCCTGCCTAGTCTCGATGTTTTGTGCTGTCAGATGTGGTGGTTAGTAAATAAGAAGAGTATGATCGGTAATGACCAAATTTAAGACTAATGAGAGAAACAGAAGATTAATCAAATGACGTAAAAGGCTTTAACAATGTATAAGATTTTGAATCACCTAGTGTGATCTGTGAATGTGAATCCTAGCCTGGAAACAAGTCTAAAATGGATCAAAGTTGATCATGCCTGATGTCCACTATTTTTTCTGCCTTTTTTCTTGTCATTTGAACAATTTCCTTTTTAATTTCATATCTTCATTTAATTTGGCCTATATTTGAAACAAGACTGAACATTGGATCCAAAACGGTTCTTCCCTCATTTCAACTATCACCCTATTTTTGTAACATATCCAGTCTTTGTCTCTCTTGAACCAGGGAGAGTCAAGATCCATATAAAGGGTAGGAAAGAATTGTATTGAGAACAGGGAGAGTCGAGAGTCTCAAGTAAAGAACATAAAAGAGTCAAGTTGAGACCAGGGAAAATCGAGATACAAGTAAAGGGCAGAAGAGAGTCAAGTCCTTTAAATTTTCAGAGATTGTTTTTGCAACTTCCTATTTTCAATGAATTGGCCTATATTTGAAATAAGTCTGATGAATGGATCAAAACTGATCATTCCTGATTTGAACTAAGTCCCTATTTTCTTGTCCTTTTCAATATTTGTCTGATTTATTTCTCACTTTCATCGAATATGGCCTTGCCTGGAAAAATGTGACCACTGGATCAAAACTGACCATCTCTGATGTCCAACTTTTGCCTTTTTTCTTTCGTCATTTTCAATCTTTGTCTGATTACAGGTCTGACCAATGGATCAAAACTGATCGTTTGAAGTTCATTGTGTCATGGATCTATAGTCCAATCATCTATGATCATGTTGGTCCATCTAGTGTCTATGTTATGCTGTGGCAGGCCTGATTGGTCAGTAAATAGGAAGAGTATAATGATCAAATTTCACATTCAACTTTCCACAGACAATAAATTAATAGACACTTAAAAATACTCTTTAGTTAAATTCTTTGGAATGTATTTACTTTTTCATTCAATAATGCTTTGAAAGAAATTGTTTTATCTGTTTTCCTAGAAATTAATCAATTTCAATTTTTTGTAACTTTCATTATTTTTCTAGAATTATTAAAGTGACAGAAAACGAATCTAATGAAGAAGAAAGCTATGAAGATATATCAGATTTTGAATCGCCCAGTGTGATCTCAATGTTGCAAAGTACGGAAGCTGAACAAATGATTATAGGCCAAGAAGAGGAAGAAGAGCGCGATTATCATACGTTCCAGCTTGACAAAACTCTTGAAGATGATATACTTGAAGAATTCGGAGAGGAGGAAGAGGAAGAAGAAGACAAAAACGAATCGTCATCAACAGTATCTGATGATGATGATTATGATGACGATGATGTCCAATATTATCAAATTGGTGATCGAATTTTTTATATTGATTACACCTGTGATGATGATGACAAAGGAATGAGAGAAGAATTCGAGGCCAGAGAAGAAGTGGAAAATGAAGAAGTGGAAGTGGAGTGCGAGGAGGATGAAGGAGAAATGGAGGGAGAAATAGAAGAAATAGAAGAAGAGGAAGTGGTAGAGGAAGAAATAGAACAAGAAGAAGAAGAAGAAGAAGAAAGAGAGGAGTATGATGTAGAATGGATGGAAAGGCTGTGGAATGAAGAAGTTGATGGTGAAGGTGAAGAATATGAGGAGTATTCATACGGAAGAAAGGATAGAGGCCAAATAACCGATGAATCCGGTCAGTACGACGAAAAGGAAAGCACAATCTCCACAGTACAAGGTTCAGAGGAAGCTTCAGAAACCAAACTTCCAGAAATCTTCGAGGGTCTAGACGAAGACTCAGAAATACAGATAGACTCAAGCGTATCTTTGATTTCAAAGATACCAGAATTAGAAGACTCTGAGCAGGACATCGAAGAAGAACAATTGTATGAAGAATGCGAAGAAGGTGTTGACAAAGAATTTGTGGAAGCTTTATTAGAACTGAAAAGAAGAGAAAAAGTCATTGCTGAACAGTATAGAGGGCCGTTCAGAATTGCTCCTTGGAAAAGTGCTAAAACCAGAGCTCGAGCATTTAGAATGTACTTGAAATACCAACAAGCCAGAAGAAAATTGAAAAAACCAAAAGGAATCACTTTGTTGGAATGTCAATTGTTAACAGACTCTTTAAAAAGATTACCAAAATTCGGTTACTTGAAAGATGTTGTGAACTTGGCTGTACAAAACATGATGGCAATTGAAAGTGGAAGGTATCTGTATAAGTTTGAACGAGCTCCTTTATTAAATTCTGTTGAATTAATGCTCGACTCTTTGGAGCCCGCGTTTTATCACCACTTAGAATTACCAATCCCTGAAGCTCCGAATATGCTAGAGGCCAATTTGGTATTAACTGCCGATGTATTACTGTCATTATTTAAAGTGAGTGGCTACAAGATTTGCTTAGCTTTAACATTTTATGAAAAAAAATTATAATGCTTAATTATAAAAAATCATGAAATTATTTACACTTTTGGCTTTTTAGGATACAATTTTTAAATTGAAAAGAGATTTTAATAGACATATGATATCACTAAGAGCAGAGAAACTCAAAGAAATGGAAATGGTCGACGAGTACAATCGTGAAATTGAGGAGCTAATATTTGCTCTTCGTGACTCATGCAGGCTAGACCGTCAGTATCAATTTATATCATTTAAAATAAATAAATAAATAAAATCTGGTTAAATTTAACCATTTTGATATTATTTTAGCCCAATTATTGCCAAATGTACCTCCATGTGTGGCCCTGCTTGACTCAGAAGTGCCTGAAGCACTGATTTCTGTTAAAGAATGTGAGGTAAGATATGTTAATTGATACTAAGTAGTTTTCTCTTTAAACTAGGAACTGCATTCACATTTCTATTAAGCTGTTTCATTTAGGTTATTGGCATTTTTTCTTTGCGATTTTCAGTCTTCGTCTGATTAACGTTTTACACCCATTGAATTTGGCCATGAAACAAGTTTGACCGATGGATCAAAAGTGACCATCCCTGATGTCCACTATTTGCCTATTTTCTTGTCATTTTCAATATGGCCATTATCATAATTTACTGATCATGCTAGTGGAAAAATTCCATTATTCCAACCTTAAATGAAATTCACTAATTTCGTGGTCCGCTTGACCAATTAATACATTACAATTAATTAAGGTTTTTAGTTAAGCTGAAAGAAAGTTAATGGCACAAGCGGGATTCGAACCCACGATCTTCAGCTAGATATGCTGCTGCTCTACCACTTGAGCTATCATGACCTCGATCGACTCAGACATCAACTTCCTATCTCAAATGGCAAAAAGGATGGAAAACTCATAAGGTGGGGTTGAGATAGGAAGTTGATGTCCGAGTGGATCGAGGTCACGATAGCTCAAGTGGTAGAGCAGCGGCGTATCAAGCCGAAGATCGTGGGTTCGAATCCCGCTCGTGCCATTGACTTTTTTATCTCAACTAAAAACCTTAATTAATTGTAATGTCTTAAATGAAATTTTAGTTTTGTCCTTCATTAATTTATAACAATCAATCTATTTTTTATGATGTTTCATTAAAAGCATTTAGTCATTTTTTAACTGAATAAATCATGTTTTATAATGTTCAATATCTATTTTTATTTATGCAGTTATTGTCATATCTGTTTTAGAGTAAATTGCCACATCTCTATAGTACATTTTTTAAAGCCTAGTTTATTTTATTTTTTCTCAGGTTCCTGCTATCAAATTGTTAACTCCTGAAGAAGAAGCTCTCGTAGAAGCTGCACTCGAGAAAGAAAGGGAACTTGAAAGACTTTATAAGCTGGACGCTTGGAAGAGAGAAGCCTTGATAGACATGATGGACGGTGTATTAAAATTGACTTGGAAAGATGTTCTTAAAAGAAAAATACCAGTGCCGCGCTTTTTGGTAATTTTTTAATTTTAAATTTGCATTTTGGCTTCAATGGTCAAATGAAAATTCATTATTTTTTCTTAGTCAATGTGATATTGAAGTGTATAATATTTTAGGCTGACAAATTGGTTGACGAATTTTCACCAGAAGAGATAGAGAGAGCAAAGGAGTATCAGAAACAAGTCAGGGACCTTCGAATGAAGTGTCTTCATTATGTCAAACTGGTGCAGGAAGATATAAAAACAATACTCCATAAATCTGAGGCATGTATTATTAATAATTTCTATCCGATTTCTAGTGAAAAATGAAAATATAACTTACAATATACAATACTTGTATAACTGGGAAGTAAGACGTAGATAAGGCAGCAAATTTAGACCACCCCATGCTGTATTTCCTATGGATTAAACAAGAACAGTTGCCAATGCAATAAAAAATTAATGGAAAATCTACTGGACCAAAAGAAACTCATCAAAATTATTTAAAGTTAAAATATACATCTGTTCATATCCTGTGGAGGCTGTAGAAGGGAATAGGTCATACTTATCAGGTTGCTCATAGGTCATGCCAGGATCACACTGAACCTCCTGGAGTGGTTAGACCATTTTGTAGGGAATCGAGAGTGTTAAGAAGCCTTGGGGCACAGATCTCTGGTTGAATATCCTTGGGCTAACATATTTTTAGCGGTTTATAGACTTTTGTGTGTTAATGTTATCTGTTAGGAAGAATGTATTTAAAAGCGTGACTGGAGGGACGGACTTCTTTCTCAATCCCTTCAACGAATATCAAGTACTTTTGGGCTCTATGAATAAAGTCTAGAGTGTGAATGTTATGTATTAGCGTGAGTGAAATACCCTGAAAGCTCTTCCTCAAATACCATGACGAATATCAAGTAAGTACTTTGGGGCAGTGTGAGTGAAGTCTGATGAATGAGTGTATTTATTAATGTGAAAGGAACTTCGGATTTCTTCTTCCATCATTCCAAGGAAAACCGTGTAATTTTGGACTATGAATGAAGTCTGGCATGTGAATGTTATTTATTAATACAGTCTTCTCTCCCATTACCCTGAGGAATGAAGTGTGAATGGCTATTTATTTATTTACGGATCGAAATCCACTATAAAAAAGACATTTTACAATAACAAAAAATATAAATGATATATGTAAAAATACAAATAATAGTTATAAAAAGAATAAGGATGTATATACATGGTAATAATATAAATGGTAAATATAAATGATAAATATAAAAATACAATTAAAGAGTAAAAAACTGAACAACAAAAATGAAAGACATAATTACTAACCAAATAAGGCAGAGGAAACAAAATAAAGTGAAAGACAATTGAAACTACAATTATTAGGTACATATTTAATGAAAATAATGCTCTTTGTAAATATATAATAAGACTAGAGTGCGAGAATTAGTTGAACCAGTAAATGAAATAAATTGTAATAATTTTGTACAGTATGAAATATAAAAGCATTCAACTAAGGTTTTAGGATATGGTTTTTCACAGATTGCACAGAACTATTGAAGAAGTCAATGCTATTGCAGATGTTGTTACTCTTGATCATCATTCTGTGTAGAGGAGAAGAGAGCATGTAGTTAGAGCTTTGGAATTCAATATAAAATAATTTATAGGTTTTAAGAGAGTGCAAAGGGACATGTAATTTTGTCACATTTCAATTCATTTCAAAGTGACAACGTTATGATTTAGATTTCGAGATTAGGCCTAGAGTAAAAAAATAAAACAGGATAGAGAAGAGACAGTCGAGTCAGAGAGGTGAACAAGATTCCGTGTAGATGTGAGACAAGAGAAGCGTGCGATCCTCAAAAGTGTTGTATTCCCTAAAATAGAGAGCTTCGGAATTGACTGGAAATAGTGAGTACGTATCCACCCTTGTTCTAAATGGTCTGGCAAACGCATTTTAGTAAAATACTGTTTATTTAAATTTATAAAAATTTTTAATTGTTTGTTCAAAATTTAAAAGGAAATTTATTGGTTTTAATTATTATTTTCTTGTGTGTTTAATAAATNCTTTATAAAGATGGGCAAAACATAGAGGATTTTTAAATTCATAGGTGTTCCGGATGATAAAACCTAGCATCTTCATAAATCTATTTTTTATTGAAGAAATATGTTCTTTAAACTTGAGCTTTTGATCAAAAAGTACACCAAGATCCTTTACGACCTCAACTCACGTTAAAAGAGCATCATGAAGAGTATAGAGATAAATAAAAGGCTATGGGTTTCTTCCTCCAATTACCCCCTTGAATAAGTAGTCGTACTCCCCTAGTAGTACTTCAAGTACTTCCCCCATTTACCCCGAGGAATATCAACTCTGGGGCAGTGTAAACAAAGTCTAGTGTGTGAATGTTCATTAATAGCAAGAATAATGGGGCTTCCTTCCAAATTACCTCAAGGAATATCGAATACTCAAGGGTAGTGTGAATGAAGAGGCTTTTTCCCTTCTACCTAATACCCAATGAAGCCTTAATTATAGCTTGGCAGCAACATAAGAAAATGAATTGGAAGCAAGGAAAAGAATGACAAAGAATAAAATTGTTGGCGATGACCAATTTAGTTTGCCAGTTTTAAAACTATCCAACAATGTGTGATACTATAAATTTTAGAAAATACATATTAATGTAGTTTTGTTGTTGTTAAAATTAATAAAGATGGCAAGTAAAATAAAGATATGTTACGAATGAGTAATATGCAGTATGCAGTCTTTTTTTAAACGATTTCAATCTATTTTTATTATAGAGCTCTCAAAGGGAACATGATAAAAAAATTCGAATGATGATGGACTTGAAATTTGAACTAATAACCGCAATTGGCAGTGAACGGTTGAAAGTGAACAGACTTTGCGGTAGGAAAGGAATGCAAAGTAATCTTCTAGAATTTATACAAATAATTAGGTAAATATTACAATTTAATTTTAAGTACAAATTTTTATTTATTAAAAAAAAAATCTTTAGCGCATGTAATTTATATTTCTTTGTTTGCTTGTGTGTGTTTTAATAAGTTATTTTTATTGATTCACCAGGGGTTGGCTCCACCAACAAAACATTTTAATGAGCCAACTGAAAAAAGGTTTGGTACGGATGAAAAAAGAAGTGAGTTATCTCAACTCAAGATATAACAAACTTAGACACAGGGACAAGAATTTAAGAACGAGATTCACAGTCAATTTTGACGCAAATTCGATGAAAGCGTTAAATTTAGATAAAATCATGAGCCTTTATCAGTATGTAAATTTTGAATTTCACATGCCTTATGTAACAGTTACCTGTTACATTAAATTTTTTTTTTTGCAGAAGTCGCCCACCATACTCGCTTCTTTATAATGCAACAGCGAACGAATTGCGGGAGCTGGCTTCTTCAAGATTGGAACACGGAAATGCGCCTTACCTTACCCCACAGTATGATTTATATTTTGGCCATATTGTCCTAATGAACAGCCCTGGATTCCGGCCCCCAGGAATAGATAAAGCGACATGGGAACTCATCATATTTCACAGAAAGGAAAAAATTATTTGCGAACTTATGGTGTGTATATTGAAAATCAGATGTCTATTTCTCCTGTCATAAAATAGACAGGCTGAGCCAATTAATTTAGTCAATACCGGTCATTTTAATTTTTCTGCCTTCACTGGGTTGGTCGATCATGTGAGGAAATGATCGGCAACAACAAATTAAAGCTAACGATTAAACTTAAAAGAACACTTATTTCAAAAATAATAAAATATTACATTTTGCGTTTGAAACTATAACTAACATTAAGACAGTTTTTCACTAAATTATTATTTTCAGCTTGAGGCATGTAAAAAAGACTTGGAAAAAGGGAAAGAAGTCGTGAAGCATTTCGAAGGATCATTGCAACGCATAAATCGTGACTTCACATCCACTAAAAATATCCTTATAAGATCTCAATCTATTCTACGTGAACTTTATCAAAGTGCAGAGGTAAAACCCCTAAATTTTTGTTTATGGAAATATTTTTATACTATAAATGGAATATTGTTTTTTGTATCTTTTTACTAACAGTTACAGTTTATGTTCCCGAGTGCTCACATTGAAAAAGATAGCGATGATGAAGAGGAGTTTTACAATAATGCAGTGTTAATTGAAGCTTCATTTATTGACGAATTGAATTACATAATAAAGGTATTTTTTGTGGTGTTTCATTATTGATATTTTTAATTTTATCTGATTTATTTTTTATTTATTTATTTATTTTTTATTTTTTTGCCAGAATGTTACAGTTAGTAAAACACATGCTGGAGAAAGCTTGGTAGAAAAATTTGAAGAAACATCATCTATGGAGTTTCAACACATTTACCTAAAATGCTTGGCCACTCTATTGCATAAAGAAAATAAATTAATCAAAAAATTTGTAGTAAGTATATTAAAAAGAAAAAAAAATTCAATGTCAAATCATTTGAATCTAATATGTATGTGTATTTTCTAGTACTCTTCCTATTTGCAAAAATATCTGAATATTGTAAATAAAACGGGTGCCGAGCCACCGATAGATCCGATCGAAGAGGTCAGTGTAATGAAAATGGAAAAGCTAAAACTAGAAGAGTTACAGAGGCTCGACGAATTGAAAGTTGAAGCAGTGGAGTGCAGAGCGAATGAGATTAAAAAAGAAAGAATGGCAGTTCTCAAGGAACGTTTGGAAGAACTGTTTTCAAAAGCGCCTGATTTTACCGAGACTTCTTTAGATGCTTTTTCAGTCAATTTGGCATTGATGGACAATGCAAATTTGGACGATATTAAACTGCCTTATATCAATGTGGATATACCGGTTACCGAGGAGGAGCCTGACCCAATGTTAGACACAAAGGCCTCCTCTTCGGCCGCTTTGAACCTCATAGAAGAAGAATCTAATGAATCCGATGAAAAGGAAGAAGAGGAAGATGAAGACTTTGCCAGTTTTGAAGGTTACGTGAAAACTTACGAAGGCCCACATGTGAAGGTTGTACCAAAACCTTTATGCAAAGTTGCAGTTTCCACAGATGATATTACCACGATTGACAAACACATTTGTTCCAGTATACTACTGGCTACTTTAAATTCATCGGTTAGTTTATCAGAAGATGCAGCTTCTAACCAAGGTTCTTCAACTCCTTCATACACATGCTCGGAAAGATCAGTATCACCATCAATGTCAGTAGATAGTGAAGGTAGCGAGGAAGAATATATTTCCCCTGAAATGGAAACTATACATACATCACTCAACAGCTGTGAGTCATTAGATGAAAAATTGTATAAACCAGACAGGCTGCGTAATAAGAGTGAGTTAATATGTTCTTACGAAGATGACTACTATTTTAACGATATGACAGATGAAAATAAATACTTCATTCCGCCTGGTGGTTTACACTTTTTGGATTTCAAGAAAGACAACTTTTATTTAAAAGATGCTCCATTGCTTTTAAGAAGTTTTGTTATGAAGAAGTATCCTCTCACATTTAGAGAATCATTCGACAAAGAAAAACTGAAAGAAGAGATTCCGTTACCGCTATATTTGACAAATTTTGAAGACAAGGTGGACGATGAAGACTTCACTAAGAAAACATTTGAAATCAACTCTATCGATAGGGTTGCAATTGATGAAATCGTGAAACAGTGCGATGAAAGACTTCTGGCAGAACAGAGTGAATCTCTGCTGAGCCTCGAAAGTTCGTATGAATACAGTGTTTTCAGTGATGAAAGCGACATGTGCAGTACTGACAGTGAAGACAGTTCACCCAAGCACAAGAAAGCAACAGGAAAGGTAGAAGTTGGAAACAGTGATAAAAAACACGGTGATGAAAGAATGGCGGACAGTGGCAAATACGACGATCTGACTGATGGCGAAGTAATGGATTATGAAGATGAGGAAGAAGAAACAGCCTTCCATGAAAAATTAACTTGTGGTACATTTGACAAAGTAAAAGTGGGGGAAGTACACGCAAAAGTTCATGTAGAAAATGAAGAAGTTTATATACAAAATGATGAAGTCAATGAATTCGATCATGAGAGTTTTGAAAGTGACTCAGATTCAGACGATTCTTCACTGTCTGAAGACCGTCCCACCGTCGACTTGTCAGACATAAGCGACGATGCGTCTTTCCTGCATGCGTTAATAAGAGAAGAAGCTAAACGTAGAGCAGGAGAAAGTGAGGAACAGAGACGGAAAATAGGCAAAGATCACATGGGACTCAAATTACAGAAATACGTTGAACCAGATAATTTCAAGAGAAACAAAAATAAAAAATCTAAAATTGATTTCAACTATCTACTGACATGGCGCAAACAGAAAATCCATCTGAAAGACAAAGAGCACGTTTTTCAAAAGCTACAAGGCATTGCGGCAATATTAGCAGATAGTGCGGAGTACGATCCTACTTTGCCATATTACAGACAATTTAAACATCTGAAATTGGAATGTGAATTGGAATCTATTATAAAAAAAGAAGGCCTCTATCTTTTAAGACATATTGATAGTTTCCATTCACTCTATTTTGAAACGAGTGACGAGGATGGGGATGAAAATCAAATAGAAATTAATCCAAAACTAGAATACTATATAGATGACCTCAACTTGAAAGATTTCAATAAAGAAACAGACGATGATGGCAGCGAGTTGTGCGAACCTCCAGATAATATAATTGGAATATACGATGTCATTACTGGAGAAGTTGCCCCTGTGATTAACATACCCCAATGCCCTTCGGTTTCTTCAACATCTAGTGATGACACAAGACAAAAACGTGTTATCGATCTGCCAAAAGATGGTGACGGCGATGAAGACGAATATGTTGGAAGGCGTCGCAGGGGTCATAGGTCAATCGGAGGAACTCACGAAAAAAGTCATACTAAAAAAGAAAAACACAGTAAAGATTATCATGAAGGAATATTGTTGTCAACATCAGTGACAACACTATCAACTTCATCAGACGAAGAAAAGGAAAAAGAAATAGACTTATTGTCAATTGCAAGTAGAGGTATACAATATGGCATACACAGTACATACAAAAAGAAGAGATATGCTAAAGAAAAAAGCCTTGAAGTGAAAATAAGATATACAACCGATACAGAAGATGATCATTTTCACAAGAAAGATTATAGAAAGAACAGAAGATTTGATTATAGCTTCAATGATTTGGGAATTAAAGATCCAAATATAAGATATTTATTGAGCGAACTGCATAAAAAAGAAATCACCGCTATAGAAGCGGCGAAAATAGCGGAAAGAGACAAGATTATCATAGAACCAGAGGACCTTGAAGAGTTCAAACAAATTTACGGAGAGATAAGCGATGAAGTGATGGGAATTTTAAAATCCATCGAACAAACGTACGAGCCTGTTCATGTGATATTCTCAGAGATGGAAAAGACAGATCCGATCTTAGCGACGCTCACAAAAGAACAAGAACTTCAAAGGTCTCCAGCCAATGCTCAAGTAAATAAAAAATAACAGTTTTTATGTTTTTAATAATATTTGTCTTACAACATTTTCAAATTTTTTACTGTATACAACCTCATAAAACTTTATTTATTTGTTTTCATCCATAGGTGAACAGTTTTATGATGCAGGCGAACAAAGAACTTGAATTTCAAATGAAAGTGTTCAACAAAAGAATACAAGAATCGATTGAAGAAGGAAAGAAATTATTGGAAAGGAAACAAGATGCTTATCAAAACCTTGTGCCCGAACTAAATCTTCTGGAATCTCTACAAGTCAAAGACTTAAAACCCCACGAAAGAAGGAAACGGTGAATATTTCTATAATATATTTAATGCCATAGAATATAGGCTAAATTTACTCTTTTGGAATTCTGCACTGTCGATGGTTTTTGCAAATATTCTGTACTGTTTTTTATTCTAAACTCAGAATGGAAAGTACTGCGATCCTGGCCCCCTGACATTAAAAATTCAATAAAAACATGATTAAAAGAAAGTGGCAGCATCGGTGGGCCGGGTTGGCCAAGAAGTTCTTATTTATCAAGAGGTGGCCCTCGGAGGTCCTGACTCATAGAAATGTCATCCTCACCTAATTAATGTGTAGGTCATGCGAGGTTGATACATGGACATTTATTTTTGGGCCAAAGCCAGCATATGTGTCCAGCATGCTTTACATAAAAGGTTGCTCGATGTGACCCACCTAATTGAAGGGTGCAATTCCTTGGCTCCATGTAGAGAGTGTAGGATACGGGTCCCCTGTTTTGATTCTTGGGGAAACAAGGTTGTTGTATTGTATATACTGATAATTTTGTGTCTCTAGCGTGTGTTGAGTATGATTGTATTTATTGGCATGAATGTGTAGTGTGAGAGGGTCGATTGTGGAATATTGACCCATCGACTTACTTTAGCTATTTAATACGCGTAGGATTTAAGAGTGCGTGAGATTGTAAATGAAAGACTGAAACATCCCTGCCGAAATGTCCTTAAAAGAATGGTCCATAGCCTTTTCCTAGTTATTGCGGGGCAGTTGAATAAGTTTATGTCATTTCTATCTCTTTCAGACATAATTATGGTCTGTTGATAGTACCATTTCTTAATGTTATATTTAACTGGAGCTCTTCCGAAAAATGCCTGTTAAAGTTTTTAATTTTTTTTTTCTGTTAAGTAGGACAGTTATAAAAGAGTTATAAAAAAACTAAAAAAAAAACTATTGTGTGTTGGGTTGAATGACAATGATAATGACACATCTACACAGAAAACAAACTCTGAGTGAGTAAAATACTTTGATTGAGTCTAAAATTTCTAGTCTTGTATAAATTCATTTTTTCACATCCTACATGTATTTGTATAATTTAAACAATGTTTATTAATCCCAGGCCCTGAAGATGATCTCAATAAAGATCAAAACGTTGGCACGATAAAGAAAATGTTTTTCTAAACCTACATCACACCAGACCGCATCTCAGGATCTCCAAATAATCATTAATTAACAATCACTAAACACCACTCGTATTTATTAATATTAATTAATAACCTTTCTTGCTTAATAACCCTTTTTATTTGCCTTTTAATAGTGATGCTTGAGCTTTCAAAGTTAAGAAGGGAAAATTTCAGACAGTGAAACGCTTTGTGCATACGTTATATAAAATTTCCACTATGTTAATAATTTTTTGAATAAATGTTACTTAATAATATTTGACTCGTTTTCACAGGCTTAAGCAATTGAAGAAAATCAGCGGATTGCTCCAGGTCATTCAGAATAACAAATCAGATTTGCAACAACTCGAGTCCGAATTGGAAATACTTCATCTCAGAAACTACCCAACCTTTGCACTGAAAAAGGACGTAATAACCTAAAAATTTGTATTTGTCACACTCATTAAATAAATAAATATTTCTCATTAGATTGCATATACTTGCGTGAATTTATGTCAAGAACTTAATTTACCCACCTCCTTCCTTTTTTTAATAAGTTACTAAGTATACATAAGTTGAGCAAGACTCTGTTAAGCAGTGATAGAATTCAAAATTCAAAATATAATTTAAAAAAATAATAAAAACTTAATTATTTTGAATAGCTAGGAGATATCTAGATAAGATCTATTTGTGAAAACTTATGAATAAGCATATTAACTATTTCCTGGAGGTTGTTGTTGCCAAAACGAAGAAGATAATCTTGTGGAATTCGAGGAATGAAGAAAATGGAAGGTCTTCAATTATGAAGCAGAAAGCAAACATTTAGGCAGGAAAGTCTACAAAATCCAAATAAATACGACAAGATGTAAAGTAAAAATAAACGAAAGTAATTCCTGTCATACAGGTGGGTTTAACGTCCTGTTTGGGTATCGCCCATAAGGCGTGGAATATGCTTGGATTCGAACCCAGAACTGCTAGTGTCTTATAGAGTCAGATGTCTTAACTATTCAGCTGCAGCAGTTCTCCTAAAATAAATCCTGTCATATAGAAGGTCATACGTCCAACTAACCATTGGGTGTTGTGGATGAGGGGGTCAGAACCACTTTAAAATATTTCTTTCATATTTTACAGTTATTATATTTATGAGTTTTACAGTTTTTCCTCACTTAATTTAATTGACTGTTCCATTCTGCACCGACTCTCTCAGTGTGGTTACCGCTGTCCATGATAGATCAGCCCTCTTGCTCTTGTAGGAGAGGTACTATGAGCTGGAACATCCGGTAAAAATGGTAGTTCTTGTCTGTGTCCCTGGCCGCATAGGTCTGGAGAGTAATGAAAAGGCAGATGAGGCGGCTAAGACTGGAGTGTCCCCACTACTGTTATCAGACCCTGTGATGTTAAAAATGCTTTAAAAACACGATTAAAAGGAAGCCAGAAGATAAGCATATTAACAACACTTTCGACAGGTGGACCTCAGAGGATCGGACTCATAAAAGAAGGGTTAACCTCATCCGATTAAGCCAGGTGTGAGGCTGACACATGGACACTTACTTTTGGGCCAAACCCCGCAACATGTAGAAAAAGGCTGCATGAGGTGGCCCACATAATTAAAGGGTTTTCGTGGCTCCACATAGAGAGCTACCTGATATGAGAATTCTACTTGAGCACAGCTCTACTAGAGTCCTGTGTTAATCTAGTGTTGCCTTGCTGAGTAGATGGCTACTCTTCTGTTAACAACACCTAGCTTTTTAATCTTCTTGGCACAGTCAATAACCAGTCACAAGAAACACACTACACACTGTCCAAGATCTATATGATATCTAGTCCTTGGTTTATTTTCATAAATATCAGCTTCTGACCCATATTCATTTTTGGAGCCATCTGTACACTTTTTTTCATAGTTTCATATACTAGATATGAAAGGCATTATCTGGGACCCCTTTCTCCCAGACTACTCTATCAGGTGTCATTGGACTGGGGATAACATAGGAGTTCAAGCCTGATTATTGTTCCTTCAACCGAGGCAATTGTTGGGAACACCCCAATCACAACCCCCGTAGGCATAAACAGACAGGCAAAACTAGTTTATGCCTTGCTGTTCGAGCAGATGGTTATTTTTGGCAGTCTTATGATCACCTTGGCAAGCAACTTAGTGTTCGTTCAGTAGCCACAGGCTCTGCAAAGAAATTGGCATATTGCTCAAAGCTTAAATGAATCCTTGGTTTATTACCATAAATACCAGCTCCTGACCCATACTCGGTTTTGGATCCATCTGTGTACTAGATATATTGAAATTTTTTATCAAATCTGAATTTAGGGCTCTTGGCATCAACAGGCTCCCCAGAAGTTCCACCAAACTCCCTGTTACGCGTGTAGTTCTTGGATAAAACTATTAACAAAGAGGGACATATAAGCCGGAATGGAAAGTAAGCAAAAGCAGAAAAGATGTACACGGAAAATAAAAGAGGACTTAGACTTTAGATCCTTGAGGAACTCGAAAATTAAGGCCGATTTTACATCTTTATTGCAACACCCCCCTCTCTTCACAGTCCGATATTTTGGAAGAACGAGATTTGTTAGTATTAGCAATAAGGGTAATAAACGTTAATGAGTTTAATTAAATTATAATTATTTGTTTCGACGGTTCCGTTTCTGGAGAATTGAAATCTCCGAGAGTAGGCGACACGTGATCGGTTTATTTTTACCTAAAAGCATTTTATATTTGATATTTCTTTATAGGAAAGTCTATTTTTCTTTATATATATATATTTTTTTTTTTAAATCTGTGACCTTCAATTTTGTAATTAAGAGTTGAATATTCATTTTTTTTAAAGTTTACGTTTTAATAAAGCGTATTAGTCATAGACGTGGTATTTGTTGATTTTGTAAGGAAAATAATGAATACTCAGCAGTAAGGATTATAAATAGGATCTGTAGGTTTTTTTATTTTATTTATTTTTATTCATTTATTTTTTGATTCAGCCCTTTTGCTGGGCGGCAAGGGCTCTCATCCTTAACCTACAGATTTCCTGGATATCATTTCGGTCAGCCTAATAAAATAATATTAAAAAAAATAATAAAAATAAAAAAGGAATCTATTAGAACGTAGAATTCTGTCCGTCTGGCTCATGATTGTCCTTTTGGGGGAAGGAATCCTGGTGGGGGTGTCTGTCCATGGTGATGTGGAACCTCAGGTTTGTCCTGGCTCAGTCAAGGTTCTATCCTAGTGCCGTTTGACTCATGGACACTTCAGGATCGTCTACAAAAAGGTATACAAACATTTATTTGTTTACGCCGTGTAAAAATCATCATCGAGTACTAAGTCGACCAGGGGGGACGTGCCATTTCCACCCAGAAGACCTACGACGAATCATTTCTACTATTACATTTTTTTAAAAGAAACTCACTTTTATATAGAAAAATGAAATAATAATAATAATAAAAATGTAATATTCTTCACTAATATTTACAAAGTTGGTCGATCCCTCTGAGTTAAGACAGCGTGAGGATTAAAATTGTAGCCTTTATTATATTTATCCGGCCATCGAAATTTATTTCAAGCTATATACAGTTGAAATTTATTCACACAATTCGATTAAGCTTCAAGCTTTCTTCTTTTATTTTTTAATACTAGATTAATTTTGGTGAAATCCGCCTGTTACAAAGATTAAACTTTACGGATCGCAAACAGCCCGTTTTCTAGCCTTTGCCCATGTTTAATCTGTTAAGGGAAAACTCGTTTGGTGTCCTGATACTCATGAAAGTGCGTAGAGTGAACGCTAGTGCCGGTGGTACTTTAACAAACTTAAAAAAAAAAAAAAACAAGTAGGCCAAGCTCAGGAAGGGGTTTCAAGTTAAAAGGACGATGCAAATTTTAAGTCCCAGTGGTTGGGAAAAGCCGAAGGATGAAAACTAACGGTTTATTATTAGACTTGTTACGTGATGCTTTTGGCAGCTTTTGAAGACAATCTTCTCGTCGATTATAGAATTTCTGAAAGGATTTGCCCCCAAAGTGTCCTTAAAATTTCTCAGTTGGCCGCTTTCTAAAATTATATTTAATTTTGGCAGTGCGAATACAATTTTTTAGACCGCATTATACCAAAATGATCGAATAACTTGAAAACTACATGGGCCAAGTCGATCCAATTATTATTTTTCCATAGCCGTCGCTACTCTGCATGATTGATCATTTCAGATCATTTTAATCTAATTAATTTTATTGAACCGAAGGACGTGGGTTCGAATCCCGCTCGTGAGACTAGCTTTTTCATCTCGACCAAGACCATAGATTGAAAGTGTAATTAATTAGGTTGGTGGTGGATTAAGAGAATTTGTTTTTATGTTGACCTCGGGCTTTTTCATTTTCTTCCACTTTAAATTTTTCTACCTAAGAGCGTTCTTAAATGAACCAGTTCGAGCTTTCGTGATAGGACCGCTGTTCAAATCCTGGTTCCTTGTGGTGCGTGGCTGACAGACTAAGGTACAAAGTACTCTTAGGGCATTGCAGTTTCTTAATCTGGTCGCTTTTGGGCCCAGCAGAGTGATAAAGTTGGAGTCGTTGCCATTTCGTTGAATTTCAATCAAACGCCATCATCAGTGAGGAACTGTCTGTATTCTTGTCTTTGTAGGTCATTTTATGACATCGGGTTCGGCCAGAGAAGAGTAGAAGGACCACGAAAAGTGATCAACGATCAAGTTTTAGCCTGCCGCTTCGGTATGTCGCGGGATTTCGCTTAAACGCCATGTTCAGTGAGGAAATTTCCGTTTTGTTGGCCAAACCCGACAGCATATAAGTATTTACTTACCAATACAATAAAACATATAATTCCTCATTGATGATTGCGTTTCAGTAACAGCATCCTGGGAAATGACGAAACAAGGGTAAAACTTGCTTGCACTACTTGGTCTTTCTACTGTTCTTTCTCCAATGTTTATGGGGATCTATAAAGAAAACAAAACACAAAATTCCTCACTGATGATGGTTATTGAGTGACATCTAATCTCGCGAGAAATCATACAGACGTAGTAGAGGTGTCGTCCGGTTTAGTATATTCTTCCTTGTTTTAGTCTGTCATTTCGGTATTTCACTAGATGCCACTCACAAACACCTCTTCAGTGAGGAACTGTTATGTTGTCTTTGTAGAAAAAAACCCAGATCTTCACCCTGTGTCTATTTCGTTCGTGTTGTCATATGTTCTGTTTAAACGGTATATGTTTTTCCCCTTAAGTCGTTCCTGAAGCTTCCCAGGCCTGAGAAGCTTGTTATCTCCGAGACATCAGTTTTTTGCTTGTAGCAAGCCCTGGTTTCTGATTTTAACTGTCGGTCATTCCTCGTCGAAGTTTATTTAGCTGGCCGAAAAACAGATATTTGCCTACGCATCTCGATTTAAAACTAGACTACCTTGAGCATATCCCACGTTTTTTTTTAGATTCTCTTTGACTCTCGCCATCAAACTAGTGGTTAGGGTGTGACAACTGTTTTGTAAAAACAATATTTTGCCATTGGTCCAATATAACCAGAAACATCTTTATTGATACTAAAAAACTGAAACGATCGAGTTTTTGGATCTATTTCCATCTTACAAGAATAGTCAAAAACGGTGAAATCAACAGTTGCAGCAAAAACCTCGATTTCGTCTAACAATATGTTCAGGCTGGCAAATCAAAACAACAAGACATAAACAAACAAAACCTTTAGGCAAAATGAAAACATCGAACGAAGCATTTTGAAACCCTGGAAAAATAAACATACGTGCCGTTTTGGCTCAACATTTCCTTACAACTAGAGGACGTGTATTATTAGGTTTTATGACCAGTTCAGCTTCGTACTAAATACTAACGTAGTAAACAATCAACATCAATATCAGTTAGGTAATTATTATTTGAAGCTTTAGGAAGCTACAGACTCATGTCAGATACTTAGGGCTATACATAGACAGCAGACTGACATGACGTCCCAACGTAACTGGAGACAGGTTAACTTAAAGCTCTTAGGACTGGAATTTGTTTTGATCGTAAAAACTCAACTTACTCTCTATAAGACGCTACAGCGACTACTTTGGACATACTGAGAACTGTGGGTTCCGACAAGCCATCCAATAACAACCTAACTTATCCTTCCAATCAAATTTTCTCGGAGGAAATGTCAACCTCACTATCCACAATGACCTCAACATTTCTTTTGTCTAAGGTGATGTCCGCTCCAAAGATCAAACACTAAGCTTTCGATCCATCTTGACCGTATTACGCAAGCTTTTCCTACACCCTGAGAGCCCACCACGTCGCCTTAAATGACGATGACCTTGTGACCTCGACCTCTTATTGAGAGCCAGAGTTGGTGGGTTTCTATAATTACTACAAATAGGCCTCAGTCCTCAGACAAATAGTCCTTACTCTGTCACTAATCTCCACAACTTCAATTCCGTCAAAACTCAAATAACTCTATACAAGACATTACTTTGTACATGGGTGGATCTGTGTTAGTCCGCCAAACCGTCCAATACACGTCTAATCCTTCTAATCAAAACTGCTCGTACAAATTATCAAAGCTCCTTATGCTACACTCACTACACACCACAAGATTCCTTTTGTCTGAGGCGATATATTCCCGCTTTAAAAAGGTCCACAACAACCTCTCGATCCATTAAACGACTATGACCTTGATACTTCCTCTTTAATCCTTCATATTGGGTCCCAGCATGGGTTGGTTTCAGTAAGTTCAACCCAATATCCAGCGCGTTCAATCCTTCTAATCAAAAGTCCTCAAACAAATCGTCTAATTCGTCACTAACCTCACTATCCACAATGACCTCAACATTTCTTTTGTCTGTGGTGTACTGATCCCGCTCGCAAAAGTTCCATGCCAAGCTTTCGATCCATCGTAATCATACTGCCCAAACCGTTCGTACACTTTCCCCCCTGAGAACTCAGCATACTCCGACATCTCGACACCTTACCCCTTAACCGTCCATATTGAGTGCCAGCGTTCCCTGTTTTCTGTAACTACAAATATTTTCCACTCCCCCTATGTGGTTTTGACATCTCAGAAAATTAGAAAATGACGCATATCGCTTCCTTAGTATCTTCCAACATATTCAAAACTTTTAGTCCTTCTTAACCGACTTTTTTCCGACTCATTGATTATGGAAACAAACCTTCCTGGTTCATCTATAGGATAAATTGAAAATTTCAACATCAGGATGTGGGATCGAGTGGAACGGAATGGCGTGAATAATTTAATTGTACAGTTCGCATTAGACTTCAATAAAGATTTATTTTACGGTGTTAAAGGGAAACAATTGTAATTTTCCGTTCATAATCAACGACCAATCTTTCGAATAAAATCATCAAAGGTTTTATTACCTTTTTATAGGAAGGGCGCGTTTAAAATGACAAACATTGTGTTGTCCATTGTCTGTATTTTTTTCTTGCTAATAAAGTTCGAATCGTTAGACCAAACAGCATTATTATAAATGAGATTCCTATATTGGAAAGTACAGGAATTTTATTTTTCAAGAGGTTCAACACTTTCTATACACTAACACACATATTCATGAGCAGGTGAAAGCTAAATTTAACGTTTGCCGGGTTTATTAGGATAAAATTAACAGCAATTAAGAGTGTTGTTTATTAAATTTAAAAAAAACAACAATAGAGTTCGATGGATCTACTGGAAAATCAGCGTTTCTATTTTATCATAAGTATACATTTTTCTTGTTTTTCTTTGTTTTAGGAACATTTTGGAAGCAGCTATTCGTTTTCAGCAATGATAACATTAAAACAACAGCTTGCATTGCACTGACCACGAAGTGCACTATGGTCTCTCCTGTGGATGAACCTTCTTATAATTCACCTTCTGAGCATGCTATGGTATGTACCATTTTTAATACATTCTTTTTTATTTTGAACTTTTATTGATTATAAGTCTCCTGGTCCGCCTTTACTCGCTGTTACACTTCACACCTGGACCGGCCAACTGTTCTTTTATAATCGGTTCTTTGATCCGCATTCAAGTTCATCCGGCCGTGAGTCTAAAGATTATGAAATATAACCCACTGATATGGAAAGATAAAAGCCTTCATACTACTAATCATATGGTGGTATTCAACTAATTTTCTTTTAATACGCTTTATGACTTCCTTTCTTCCTTGTTTTCCTTCCCAATGAGCCTCTCAATTGTCGTATGTAGAGAATGGGTTCTACTTTTTTTACTTATTGATACCAGCTAACGCTAGTATTCAATATCGATTAAGAGGCGAGATCATCTTAAGTTAAGACGACATGGTGGGTTCTCAGGATGGGAAAGTGTAAAGAAAGCTTGGGCAGTATGGTCAGAATGGATTGAAAGCTTGGTATGTAACTTTTAGCAGCGGTACCAGATCACCTAAGACAAAAATAAAATGAGTAGGCCGTTGTGAATAGTAGGTTAACGTCTAGAGATCTAAGGTTTTGGTTGGAAGGGCTGGATGCATTGAATATTGGATTGATTAGATGGTTGGCCGGACAAACACAGTCCTACACATGTCCAGTAATGCCGTAGTTGAGATCTTTGTGAAGGTTAGTGACAGAGTAAGGAGCTTTGACTATTTATCTGTGGACTGAGTCTACTTGTTTTTTCTTATTGAAACCAGCCAAAGCTAGTTCTCAATATGTTGAAATAGGAGGAGAGATTACAAGGTCACCGTGGGAAAGCGTAGAAAAAGCTTGGGCAGTATGGTCATGATGGATCGAAAGCTTGGTGCTGGACTTTTGCAAGCGGGATCAAATCAACATAGGCAAAAGAAATGTTGAAGTAATTGTGGATAGTGAGGTTTGTAAGGTAGTAGAGAGCTGTAATAACTTGTCTAAGGAATTTTGATTGGAAATATTGGATGCATTGGAGGATATTGGTTGGTTTGGCGGATCAACCAGCACAGTTACGCCCATGTCCACATTAATGTCTTGGATAGAGTTATTTGAGTTTGGGCAGAATATTGAGGTAGGTTTGGGTATTAGTTACATAGTAAGGAATTTGACATTTTGTCTCATGACTTTTGATTTGAAAGATTGGACGCGCTGATAGCTTGGCGGAATCCCACAGTTCCAAATATGCCCAAAGTTGTCACAGTGTAGAGTTAGTTCAGTTTTAACGGTCAAAAAGAATTTCGGTCTTAAAAGTCTTCATCTCGAATGAAGATTCCAGATGCTCTATAAGTATAGTCCTAAGTTTTTTTGGTTAGGTTTTGGGACTTGATTTTACCTCCTCTGGCCCGTTTGTCGGCTTGTTCATTGACATTCAAAATCTCCAAAGCCTGGGAAAACAACAGACTGAGAATATAAATGCAGGGTGCAAAGAATATTATGGGGGATTTTGAATGTGACCTTTTCGCGTGTTAATTGCTGTCTGATCGCATGAGGATCTTTTGTCAGTCTAACCTCTTTTAAGATTTACTATGGCACTTGATAGCACTTTTGTTAGGTTTTTGCAGTGTTTGTAATTAAACGGATCAGGATGAACAGACATGACCGAATTCCAAGGGCACCACTAAGCAGATCTTTTTCCAGAAATGGAACGTCTTGCTTGCTATTGACATTTTCTTCTGCAGCTGGTTGTTTCAAATGTTGAAATTTTACTATTGATGCAGCTGGAGTGTGCCTTGGTCATACTGGTCAGGCAGGCTTGGGCATCTAATTGGTCGATCTGTAGAGATTACGCGGGTTCTCGGGATGGGAAAGTATAGCAGTATGGTCAGGATGGAGCATGGTATGAACCTCTATGAAGCGGGATCAAATCACCTTAGAAAAAAGGACTGTTGAGGTCATTGGCATCATTACGCAAACCTATTTCGTTTGCCATTGTCATTTATTAAAAAATTGTGATGCACCTGAATTTTGATCATTAGTTTTATCTACCAGGAAGGTTTTGGCTTCCCAGCTTCAGTGTTTGATCTGTTGTTTTGTCAGTCGAATCCTTTTAAAATAATAAGAAAATGCGATATCTAAGTTGATCAAACTACATGTACACCACCCCGACATTTTTAACAAAGGAACGTTTCGTTTCTAATCGTCTGGTCGGGTTAAAACTTCACTGGAGGATTTTATGATTTGCAAAAGATTCTTGCGGAAAAAAAGAGATACAAAAATAAGTGAATCATTTTGCTAGCTGTTGTCTAGTTGGCGTTTGATTAGCATTCGTTAACGCAGTTGTGACAGTTCAGAAAACGACATTTTGAAAGCATTATTAATGGGTGCTTTTTTAAAAAACAAAAAGAAAACACATGAACAATGTGTATGGTAGTTTAAACGTGCATGGTTTGATTACAAAGTAGGAAGAGGGTTGAGTGGGGGCTTAAATGACCTAGTTATCGGTAGGCCCTGAAGACCAACCTGGTTCGGCAGACGACTTCGTCGAAAGTCCGTAGTAGCCCGGCTAATGTAAATTTAATATACCTTCAAAATGATTTTTATGTCCGATTCCATATTTCCTGTCGGCGGAAACAGGACGAAAGCCATCAACGTAATGAATCGTGTCCTCTCTGATGCCAGTATGATATATCTTTAATTGGAGGACAATTATTAATATTTTTATTTTGATGTAATAAATTATGGTGAATTTCCCAATTTCAACAGGTTGTCCATTCTCTGGATATTCAGAGTCCTCATATCACATGAGTGGGGATGTTTCGGAGGATGTTCGAAGAGGTTTCTTTTTTGGATGTTGACCAGTCTAGAGGAAGTCGTCCTGTTGATTATCTGTTACGTTCTGCACTGATTCACGGACTAAATCCTCTGAAATATATCCATCGTGCTTACTCTTGGCCTTGTTTGACCCAACAACCTACTCACCCGAATAGGCCGTCGCCTGCTGCATTTAATTAACGCTCAACAATGGCACGACCATCAGTATATACCATACATCACCATACATATATTATCCATTATGGGAATTTAATTTTTCCCAGTTAAAAACAAGCAGACTAAACCAAATTGCTATTTTTTTTCTGGCATTGGACTTTTATCCATAGCCAGTCTCAAATATGGTATTCATTGCCACACAAATATTTTTTTTTAAATTATGACTGATTAGTGTTAAAGCATAAAAATTAAAAATTAACTTAACCTTTTTCAATTATTTAATTTTTTATGTAAGGTATTGGTTGAGATAAAAAAAGTCAGCGTCACGAGCGGGATTCGAACCCATGACCTTCTGCTAAATACGCCTCTGCTCTACCACTTGAGCTATCGTGACATCGATCCTCTCGGACACCAACTTCCCATCTCAACCCACCTTTCGAATTTTCCCTCCTATTTGCCATTTTTCAAATGTCGTGTAATCTATTCGATTCTCGGCGACAAATGATTATTTTAAGCGTATATTGACCAGATAAGGCATGGCTTGATAATGATGTTGACCTGGCTATAATTTTGCACATCTCTTTATTTACGTGAGGTTCACTGAAGCAGGATGCCTCAATGTTAGGTTTAATTAGATTATTTAATTAGATTAATTAGATATAACGCTGTTTCTCGGTCCTAGGACGGTCTTTCCAATACGAAGGTCGGAACACAACTGACCAAATTGCTATATTTGATGGATAATGTAAAAAGTACTAGATAGATCAAGGGTTCCTGTTTTGTGTTAGTAGCACTTTCGTAGTGGCTTCGGCATTTTTCACTGTTTTTATTGTAACACCTTCATACTAGTCGTCAGTCGTGATTTTCTGCTTTCCCTGTGTCCCCTTTTGATGTTGATCCTTTTGGCCAGGTCAGTTTGTCAGAAGGATATTAAAACACCGAGATAGTGGAGAGTAGGGTCTATATTTAATTAGCAGAAAACAGCCAACGCTGGCAATCAATATGATGGATTTTGGATTGATGATGGCGAGGTTTCGAGATCATCGTAGTTGAAGTTGATATGGCGGCTTCTCAGATTGGGAAAGTGTAGTTAGGGCAGTATGGTTATGATCGATCGAAAGCTTGGTATGGAACTTTTTGGAAGCGGGATCAGAACACGTCAGACAAAAGAAATGCTGAGATTATTGTGGACAGACAGGTTATTGTCTAGTGACATTTTGTCTAAGGGCTTTTGATTGGAAATTTGGATGCGCTGAATATTGGAGTGATTGGACGGTTTGGCGGACTACCATGTCCAATGTAATATCTTGTATAGAGTTATTTAGGTTTTGATGGAATCATTCCACTTAGCTCCTTAATCCATATTGAGTGTCAGCGTTTCCTGATTTTTATAAATACAGCATGTAAGCCTCAGTCAACAGGCAAATAGTCAAAGCTCCTTACTCTGTCAAGAACCTCCATAACGATCTCAACATTTCGTCAAACTCAAATAACTCTGGACATGTGTGGAAATGTGTGGGTCAACCAAATCGTCCAGTATCTAGCGCATCCAATACTTCCAATCAAAAGTTTCAAACAGTTTGTCAAACCTCCTACGCCACTAATCTCATTACCCCAAATGACCTCAAGTCTCCTTTTTTCTGAGATGACATAATCTCGCTGGCAAAACTTCCACACCAAGCTTTCAATCCATCCTGATCATACTGTTCAAGCGTTTTCTACATTTATTCACACTGAGAACCTACCACGTCACATTAATTGATTAATGTCCAAAAAAAACTCCTCCCCCTTTAATCGTCCATATTGAGTGCCATCGTTGGCTGGTTTCTGTTAGTACAATAAGAAGTACAAGGAAGAGAAAAACTTCTGTAAGTAGAACTATCTTTTCTCAAAAATGAATTTCTGTTAAGTAGCCTAGTAGCCACACTACCCACGAAAACCTCAACATTTCTTTTGTCTGAAGTGATCTGATCCCTCTTCCAAAAGTTCCACACCATCCTGGATATATCCAAAACATACTGCCCAAGCCTTATCTACACTTTTCCTCATTTACTCACGTAACTGAGGTTAGGACAGTTATGGTGTTGGTCCGCGAAACCGTCCGATATCCAACGCATCCAATCTTTCCAATCATTCCAATCATTCCTTAGACAAATTAGCTCAGCTTCCTATTCCTTACTGAACTCACTTTCCACAATGTCCTCAACATTTCATTTTTCTGAGGTGATTTGATCCTTCTTCCAAAAGGTCTACACTAAGCTCTCGATCCATCTTGACTCTTCTGCCGAAGCCACACTTTACATGCGTTGGCATTCTCATACCATGTGTCCGGGTGCTGTACTGGTCTATCAGTATGTTGTCACCATTTAATCTCGTTATGAATCATTGGTTGTAACAGCATGTCCTTTTTGTTTCAGGTGTGGGAGAAATGCTATCGAGGTGTAAAGGAACGCTGCTTTTTATTCTGTGGTTGGCATCGGTAATCATTTTGCTCCAGTTGAAGAGCCTTTCTCATTCAAACCTTCTGTATTTACCCAACTCGAGAATCCTTCTGCAAAACTTAGCTTCCACTTCGAATCAGACAGATGCGCCCTACTACGAGAAGGTGTTCACAATCGACCCGGCCGTCGACAATTCCAACGTCAACGTTGAAAATGTCATGCACGATGAATTGAAACGCCACCTGCCGAGTTTGCCGGATTCCTACGTGAAACCGAACAAAATAAAAAACACGTTCTACAAAAATGAGAGCTGTGCCAAATATCCGAACGTTTACGATCTGGAATTCAACAACATATATTGGCAGAGCGTCTTCACGACGAATGGGACCTTTCACCTCTACAGCGCTTACTACGACGTGAGGAAACTGAGCAGGATCAGCCCTGCGGTCCGGATACTCGGGATGATAAACAGGATCGAACCGACGATAAAAACCCATTGCCAGTTTTGGTTCGACAACCACAAAGAGCCGGTTTTCAGCAAAGTCATGGAGTACAAGTACATCTGGTACAAGAAATGGGGTAATTACAAACAAGGGATATTCCAGCCTTATTTGATCGCTTGCCAAATACCTCATCCGTTCCACAAAGTCGTTCCAGCGTCGGTTTCCATAGTGGAAAAAATATGCGACTCTCCTACGAACAACCTTAAAGTCATTTACAACAAACCGAAGAAAAAAAAAGAATTCGCAGTCTGCGTCAAGGGTCTGGATTTCCTCTATAAAGACATATCCGTGAGACTCGTCGAATGGATCGAGATGATCCTCCTTTTGGGAGCGGATAAGATATTCTTTTATAAACTCCAGGTCCATCCCAACATATCCAAAGTCCTGTCGTATTATGAAAAAAAGGATAAAGTGGACGTTACGCCGTTGACTCTGCCGGGTGGACAGCCCAACATACCGGGCTTCCAACATATGTACTTGTCTAAAAAGATCAACCATAAAAGGCAAAACGAGTTGATACCATATAATGACTGTCTATATAGGAATCTTTACACGTACAAGTACATCGCTCTTCTTGACGTCGATGAAGTGATAATGCCTGTCAAAGTGATGTCCTGGAAAGACCTGATGGATGTAGTCCTTAAAAAAGCCCTAGCTATTAAAAACGAAACGAGAGCATCGTACAACGTGAGAAACGTCTATTTTCTAGACGATCTACTCCATTCTCACGGCTGGTTCAAGGACATACCGAAATACATGCACATGTTGCAGCATGTCTACAGGAGTAAAAATTTCACCCAACCGAATCAATACGTCAAATGTTTTCACAACCCTGAGCGGGCTTTGATTTTGCACAACCACTTCCCACTGGCGTGCCTGAGCTCGGGATGTACGTCCTACCCGATCGAAACGGGCGATGCTCAGCTACAACATTACAGGGCGGACTGTGTGAAAACACTCAAAAAAACCTGCACACAGTTCAGGGAAAGCAGCGTCCTCGACACGAGCATGTGGCGGTTCAAAAGCACCCTGATTTCAAGGACTACAGACACCTTGTACACTCTCGGCTACTTCGGAGACACTCGGCCGAATTGAAATCAAGCTCTTATATCTCATTGCCAATTTTAAGTCTGTACATTTTCAATGTAAATATGTAAAAAAATGAAATTATTGTGACATAAATATCGGTTACTATGTCTAAATATAAAACGAAATCATTGTTTATTTATTTTGACGATTTCCTGTTCTGGCCAGTACATCCCATGACCTATGGAGCGACTATGGTTTGCAACCTGACTCAAATTCTGGAGAAGACTTCTAATTTCCGCTAAAACCTCAATCGAGGACAAAGGTCTGAGTGGTCTCGCGGGTTTTGTCTGTCAGGCTTTGGCATGTCGCCATCTTCGGTGGTTTCTCTATGTGCTTTTGTCAATCACGTCCTTTTAAACTAACGAAGAAGCGATATCTCAACCAAACTACATAGAGCATAATCTTGCAGAACTCATTTCACAAAGGAACGTTTGATGGAGGTTGATCATCTCAGTGCATTTTTGTCTAACTAGACTCGCTGGTTTTGTCTGTCAGAAATGTCGCCGTCTTCAGTGTTTTGTCTGTGTGGTGTTTTGTCAGCAGTGTCCTTTTAAAATGATCAAGGAGCTATATCTCAATCAAACTACAAGAGTATCACCGAGTAGACTACTGCTTTTCACAGAGGATCGTTTGATGGAGTTTGATCTCAGTCCATCCTGCTCTGACTAATCTCGCTATTTTGACTGTCAGGGATGTCGCTATCTTCAGTGGTTTGTTTGTATGTTTTTTGTCAGCTATGACCTTTTAAAAGTTCAAGGAGCGATATCTCAATCAAACTACGAAGGCATCAACTTTCTTTTTTCACAAAAGATCGTTTGATGTAGATTGATCATCTCAGTTCATCCTGCTCTGAATAGTCCCGCTGTTTTGACTGTCAGGCATGTCTCTATCTTCAGTGGTTTGTTTGTATGTTTTTTGTCAGCTATGACCTTTTAAAAGTTCAAGGAGCGATATCTCATTCAAACTACGAAGGCATCAACTTTCTTTTTTCATAAAAGATCGTTTGATGGAGATTGATCATCTCAGTTCATCCTGCTCTGACTAGTCTCGCTGGTTTTGTCTGTTAGAAATGTCGCCATCTTCAGTGTTTTGTCTGTGTGTTGTTTTGTCAGTCATGTCCTTTTAAAATGATCAGGGAGGGCATCGACGGTCTCTTTTCACCAAAGATCGTCCTTCTAAAGTGACCAACGAGAAAAGTTTTTCTGAAAACTTCACTATTCTTTGTTGAACATGCTTCACAATTAATTGTCGTCTTCCCTAGACAAATGGAACACTGCAAGATTCCGGATTTTTGGCCGAGAGCGCGAGTAGATTGGTGGGTTTTAACAACTTCCGTTAAAATTTCAACACCCTATCTTCTTAGAAAGAGAGTTTACTCAATTAATTTATTTTTGCAAAAGTCTTGACGCCCAGTTAACTTTTTTTTTAAATTCTATCTATTTTATGGTGGCCATTTATTCTGAATCGAGTACGGACTTAGCCGGCGATGATTTTTAACGACCGTCAGCCTGACTTTCTCCAGGACATACGGATCTCACGTTCGAAAGTTCAATCCCCGACAACCTGCGTGGGGTCAAACAGAGAGTGAAAATAGAGTTGAAAAGGAAATTTAGATATAGTGAAAGGAAAAATGAATTGAACAAATAAATTTACAACTAGAACAAAACTGTTACAAAAGCCCTGTATGATCTTTCGCTTTATACAGAAATAGACCCAACATCCAAAAGTTATAGATAGATAGATTTTATTCGCTACATATAATAATAATAATCTACTTTTATTGCAAAAAAAAAAGAAAAGTTATAAACATTACATAATATATAATTTAAAATAAATTTACGGCGTGGAGGGTCCGCTGCCGGAGGTCGATTTACGTTTGACTTAAATTTTTGGTCGACACAGAGAAAAGAGTACAAAAGGAAAAAAAAGAAAAAATTGATCATTAAATAAATATTACAACTGATAATTTAATTTTTAATAATTACATTAATTATTAATTAACATTATAAACCATAATTTTTGTTCTTCGTTTAATTTACAATAATTATAGATTTATAAATTATTTGGGCCAGCAATTTAGAATGACAAAGCTTTAAAATATTCAAAAATTAAATTCTAATATTAACTCTTGGCGATTGTGCCAAGCGTGGCGCGCATATTTGATTAAATTTTTGTAATCATTAAGCAGCAAGTCAACAACCTGTGTCTTATTCAATTTAGAAAAATTTAGATACAGAAGCCGAATCTCCGATAGGATAGTGCATTTTATTGCAAAATACACTGTATCTTCTTTAACCTGGTAATTGCATAATGAACAAATTACATTTTCTCTAGCCCGAAAAGGTGCACCATTGAGATAAATCAGATCTCCTCTGATTTTGAATAACCACCTTAACTCGACCAATGACAAACCTTTAGACCTGTCCTTAGATAGGTTAAACACATTAAAACCATCTTGGTAAAGTTCCTTATAGAATAAAAAACGCGAAGTTGATCTGACATGTTCACGAAGTTCTTCACTGAAATTGACACTTAGTTTGTTATAATTTCCTTAAACTGCNGTACATCATGCTTCGTTAAGGTTATATTAGGGTTGCAAAAATGTAAGTCTTGGATATTCTTTCACATTGTCAAAGGGATTTTTTTTAAATAATTTTTTCCTTTATGACACTTATAAACTTATGCGTGGACATTTCTCTTACTGTAAGTGGTAACATATTGAAAATTCTTATGGCGTAAGGGCGCCGAAATAACCAAAGAAGTCGATGGCGCCCGACTAGAGCCCAACCTCGGAGTCGCTCAGGTACCAAGGTGGGTGACTCCCCCTGATCTATCAGGGAGAGGCGAGAGGCCTCCTAGGAGGTCTCGTAATTCTAATTCTTATTCCGAAGAAATCGTTACAATTTAATGTTTTTGTTTTTTATCTAAAGGTTATACTTACAACTTTGGTTGGCCTCTAGTATTCGCTGTGGCGACATCGCAGACCCTTTTGTCACTTTTTAAATTTGTTTTCGTATCATTTTAAATGTTTAGTTTGAAAAAGTTAATAAGTTCTTTATACAGGATTTTATTTTGAACAAATATTTTTTGGTCAGAAAATCATCAGGGTAGGCTCTGCAGAACGCAGGGGCCAAGTAGAACGGATATCTGCCGCTCAAAGTTAGGTCAGTGGAATTATGTGTTACCATGTTTGTGGTGAACGTCTGTCACAGAGGAAGTAGGGTATAGGTACGATGTTAAACCTGTTCAGATATGCCATATTTTTTCCGTGTCCACTCAGTACCTGGGCGATTTGAACGTCAGGTTTGGGGAGAGGACTTGACCTCGGCTGTTGTTGGGGAAGAATTTCTTTGTCTAGCTCCCATTTGCAGTTTCCGTCCAGCTGGATTACCGGTCTTCAGTGCTCTTTAATTCTATCATGGCTTCGAAATGCGACTTAGGAACCTTACAGTATGCCTCCGACAGACTGCTGTTGTAAGAAGCTTGCTTTGCCAGCAGGTCCGCAGCTTCATTTCACTTTAGGCCAATGTGTGTTTTAACCCAGCAAAAGCGAATCTCCACTCCGTAGTTTTCTTGCAGGTTGTAGATTGATTGTCTATCGTTCTCGATCAAAGGAAGGTGATATCTCGAGTTTTAATGCAGTCCTAACTTATTTTCCTGTCAGTTAATAATAATAATAATTCAGAAATCGTGAGATGAGGTCTGGTGTGATGTAGGTTTCAGAAAAATATTTTCTTTATCGTGCCAACGTTTCGATCTTTATTGAGATCATCTTCTACTTGAAATGCAGTTTTAATGTGAAAATCTCCAGCAGATCTACATTAGTTTCAAATAATAACATAAATGGGAGTGAGCGTTGATAAAGCAAACAACTTCTTTATCTTTAAAATCTTAATAATTTTCTAGACTCTCAAATCACTGATATCCTGAACCAACCTTTGTGAACCATACAAGGGCGGATCCAGGTTGGTCATGGGGGGGGGGTAAAAATTTTCGATTTGTTTTGCACTGGGGACCTAAAAACGTGCAAATTGAGAGAAAAATGAAAAATGTGCATATTGTTTTTCTTCCGAACGCAATACTTTCTCCTCCTTCAAAGGGAAAAACTGGGAAAAAATCACTTAATTTAAATCAATTAATTTATTTTCTTTGAGATAAAAAAGCCAGTGTCACGAGCGGGATTCGAACCCACGACCTTCGGCTAAATACGCCGCTAAACTACCACTTGAGCTATCGTCACACTGGCTTTTTTATTCCATAAGCATCAGCGGAGTCTCATTTTTTAAATCTTTTTATTATGCCGCAGACCTTAACACAGAGATCACAGGTGGTAGAAAACAGTAAATAAATGAGGAATCCGAGCATACATGTTAAGATAATAAAGATAGGAGTGATCAGGTTTATCACACTTTTTAGATATTTCAACAGGCTTTTCTATGAAGAAGTTATTAAAATTTTCTAGTTCTATATCTATCTTATTGTGTGACAGTGTTTTTGTTCCTTTATGAAAAATCGACCAGCAACTTTTTTACACATTAGATGATTACTCATTAGTAACCACTTTACAACCATTTTACACATTAGTAGATGTAATAATAATTAATTATAATCCTTTTAAATTTAATTTAATTGGACATTTATTTATTGTTAAAAAGAACAAAAAACAAATCAGTCGTAGTTATTATAGTAGTATTCCGACATCTTGCTGCATGCCTCTGACGCATCTTTGACATTTGACCTAGGAAACAAGTATTAATTTAGGAAATGATGTAACACGTCACAATTTTTAAAAAAATATATATGTATATAATTAGGTCATCCTCTTCAGGTTTGTTATTCCAAAGTCAACAGATTTACATCCTAAACCAAATGCATCAAATATTAATAAAACATAATGCACTGAACTGAAAAACCTAAAGTTACAGAATAAGTGTTGCCGACAGTGTTACCCCAAACAAGGGATGAAGGGATAAAACAGTTTCAACTCTTTTATACGTGTATATTTTTTTTAACAATTCACATGCAATTTTAACAATAGAAAATATAAATAAAATATCTTTAGCCATTCAGGGCGTAGTTATGCGTTCTTGTCTTGTATTCGTTGTAAATCGAGACTCAGTCGAAGATTAAATACTTTCTTCGTAGCTTGTTGTCCAGGACGGCCAATTGGTATAAAAATCCTTCGTTGGGATGTATGTTACGTCTCTGCCTAACAATTGATATCGCTTCGCTAGCCGTGTGGCCCCTTTTCAGCATTAAATATGCTAGAACAAACACTGCGGATCTCGACTTTCCCATCATACAATGTACGAAAACTTTACCTAGGAATAAAAACATAATTATAAATATTATTTTCATAATTGGCTTTAGTACTCTTTATTCGACTGTAGTTTGCAAAAATATGCTCATGTTAGTGAACGTTCAAGACTACTTAAATTCTAGCCCTTCGGCGCTTATTTTTTAATAATGTAGAATGAAGTTGATGAAAATGGCATGGTCTTACCATTCGACCCAATGGCATCATCCATGAAATCCGCCACTTCTTTGAAATACTCGCTTGCATCCGATACGGAAAAATCAGACAGTGTGATACCCTTGTATTTGATGCCTATGTCCGAATAAAATTCGGCCGAAGTGTTCACCTGTCCGATAATCTGTCCCTGGGCAGCATTCACGACATGGGTTATTCCGATTCTCTTGAGATACTTTTTGTTTTTTGCAGTTGATCTGAAACAGACAATGTTTACTGCTGGGCGTATAGACTAATGTTTGAGTTTTAGCAGTCAAACCGATCTTCAATCCCCGCCTGATCTTCAATACCAAAATGGTAATTTTTTCCTCTTAGACCTGACAAGTCCAGTGTGGCAACCTTTTCTCCACCCGGTTCATTTCCATTGTCAGTGCACGTTGAGGTGTGCTTAGTTGTGGTTATGGTTCAATGGATTTAAGTGCCTCTTTTGCTAATGTCCCTCATACCTTGCCACTGACATCTCAGAAATTTAGGAATTATCAATCTATCTGGTATGGGGTCTTCCTCAGGAAAGGCGGGGAGATGGATGGGCAAAAGTAAATAAATAAAAAGCCTATTTCAAGGATAATCCAGCTAATAGCACCAAAGATATTTGTTTACTGACAGGCGCCCCAGCGTTTTGGTAGTCCTTCTGCTAATGACCACTGTCAGGATCAAGGTTTGCTTGGATTGCAGTATCAGCAAAGACAGGGGTGAGTGTGTTAGTGTTGAGGGAAGAGAAATCTGCCGAGTGCCGAAAAGAACCTAGGATGTTCCCTTGAGAAACACTTGAGGATAATATGGAACAGGTTGAAGTTCGACAGATAAGGTAGTTTCAGCAATCTTGGGTCCAGACTGTTAAATAAGATGGGTAATACTGAATTAAAAAATGCACAGCTATACAAAACTATCCGTTAGGTTAGGGAATTTGAAGAGAACAATACACTAAAAAAAAAGTTGGAAATGATAGGCAACAACCAAATTACAATGACAGGCAAAAAATTCCACCCACTTGTAATATAACTTGATTTGTATATATTTTTGTATCGAAGTTTCACGTTTTTTAACGTTTAATAATTTTAATGAATAATCTTTGTCTAAAAAGGTTAAAAAAATGTAAATTGGTAAGGAAAATGAAAAATTAAAAACATAGAAAAAAAGACGGACAGATAAAATCTGTTTTAAATTTTTAATTAACATTTCAATATAGTGTATTTTCTCCTCTTGCCTTAATCCCATCTGGCACACTTTCTGCCAGTCTGGAATTGTCTCTTTGCTGGAGGTTAGCCCATTATTCACGAAGAGTCCTTTCAAGATCGTGCAGTGTATCAGGAAGTGATGGACGTGCTCTTATTCGTCTTTGGAGGTTATGCCATAAATGTTCGATTCTGGAGAACGGCTGGCCAGGCTAAGACCCTGTTATGCTGTTGAAGGTACGTTTGTACTATGCGAGCGACATGTGGACGGGCATTATCGTGCATTAGAATAGGATTGTCGCTGATTTAATCGCGGATAGGTAACGAATGTTGTTCCAAAATTTCATCCACATAGCGAGTGGCCGTCAAAGACCCTACACGAACAACAGCCAACTCTGTGCGACTCTCCCATTGAAATTACCGCCCACACCATCACTGAGCTACGTTGAAAAGGTTGACTCTGGAGAAAAATTACAAGCTTCGTACCTTTCATATCGCCTACTCTTGCACGCCCATCTGGAGATCGTAGAGCAAATCTACACTCATCTGTAAAAAGTACAGCAGACCAATGATCCAAAGACCAATGGCTTTGTTCTCGAGTAAATGCGAGCCGTGCAACTCTGTGTTCTGGTCAATTCTGGTTCTCTTACGGGGCAAAAAGCCATCAGTCCATACCGATTTCATCTTCTTCGAGCAGTGCGTTCAGAAACCTTCAACTTCTTGGAACTGATGAATCGATTGAACAACAGTAAGGTGCCAGTTCTCAAAGTCAAAAAACGGTCATCCTGTGATTCCGTCACCCTAGGGCGTCCTGAACCAGACCTTCGATGGTAGGTCCCAGTTTCTCGAAAACGTCTAACGGCGTCTCGCAGTTTCGGAGGGAACCCCGATGGCAATAGCTGCATACCTGATGGAACATCCATCATCAACAAGTGCAACTCCATGGGCAACGTCCTCAGCACTAAGTGGCATTTTCAAATTTAAAAATTGAAATTAAGAAAACAAAGATGAAAATTAAAGTTTATTGCTTCAGAATTGGAATGAGACTGATTAAAGATTTTAAATCAAGGGGATTTAAAAATAGATTTAAAATCAAGGAATTTAAATAAAGATTAAATTTTAAGATTTTAAATTCCGTAAAAAGTAAGCATTGGATCCTTCATCCTTGTTTTGGTTTGAGGATTAAGTGTGTTTACCTCTAATTGATATTCCCAATTTAAAACATAGCATGAACAAATATTTATTGGTAAAAACAATGAGACAAATTAATGGCAGAATTTTCTTTTATCGAGAAAATGAAAAAAAAATCAATTGGATGGAATTTTTTTGCCTGTGGGTGTATTTTGATAAAAAAGTGATGTTCGCTTTGCCAAAGTACATAAGCTTGCAATTTTAGTTAAATAATCTAATCGAAATGAACATTGTTAAATATTCGACCGAGTTGGGATATTTCTTCGTACGTCATGCCGACGCATGACGTCATGTCGAGGCCGCCTCCTCCCTGCCGACCAAGGACGAAACGAGACCGACTGGCTAATAAACAAAACGCTAGGTTTTTCGGTTATATTTACATTCGATTTATCTCTCAAAACGTCGTCATTCGTCTCAGGGAAAGGGATCCACCTTTTATAATTATTTAGAGAAGAATATGAGTGTGACGAGAACCATCAAATGCACGTAAGTCTACATTGACTCGCTAACCTTCTCGCCGACGAAGACATTTACGAAAATATGGAACCGGCTAGATGCTTAGATTAATAATAAACTATTAAAAACAGAATCAGTCCAGGTTCTAGGCGGTTTTCTATTTCATCTTTGTTCTATTATCACTATGATAAATAATAAGAAGGTTGCAAAAAAAAAAAAAAAAAAACAGACAGTGATATTTCTATCTGACCAAAATGGCACTGTATGACAGCATGAGGCGTACAAAATTCCACTAAATAGAGTTTGAATGGCTAGGGAGAGTTTGAGTTATTTAAAAATAAAGATGAAAGACTCACATGTTAGCCCAGGGTACTCTGATTATCTTGGAGAAGTCAGGGATTCTGCAGATCTTTCGCCCAGTTTGAACTACTTTTACACGCTATATTGTACAGTTTTACCTTCTATAGTTCCTAGTATAGTTGGGATGGTATGATCCAGCATACTAGAGCTATCAGTACCCTTGTTTTTGGAATGCACTTAATCGCTTGATTTAACACTCGCCCTTGTTTCAGTCGCATATGGTGTATGTGTAGTTTCCTGTTAATGCGGACGTTCAGGCTACATAGTAGAGTACCAGGGTTCTTGTTGGACTCCTGACAGGGTGCTGCCACCTGAGAAGGCACATGCACCAAATAGCAACAGAAGAAACACTGTAGATACTGCCAAGAAGAGACCGCAGAACACGTTTTATGTTTCTGTGAAGGTCTTTGTAGGTGCAGATTCTTGCAACTAGGAGAGGAAAAGGTGCAAGCGAGATCCTACACTAAGGAGCCTCTGGCAAGGCTATGGAGTTGATTAACAACCTGAAGCTGGCCAGTGAGTTATAAAAAAACAGAGGAGCACAATAGATACACTCAGGTTTAGTTGCAGAAGGCCTTGGGGCCACCTCTTATATCCTTAAACCTATCCAGGCTAGATCGATGTAGGCCTGAGATAGTTCTTTCCTTGGTGTTTTCGGTTCCATAGTTGTGGTAGATCTCCATTTACTCAAGAACATGTTGCATTTTTAATAGAGAGAAAATGATGTCCTGGCATTTCCTAGATGACTGCCACAGGAGTGTTAATACCTTGATGCCAATGTTGTTTAAGACAGATTGTCAGGATAGAAAAGTTTAAATAAGCTTGGGGTAGTAGGTCAGGATGGTTTGAGAGCTTGGTGCGGAATTTTTAGAAGAAGAAAAGATCACATAAAGCAAAAGTAGTGCAGATGTCATTGTAGATAGTGAGGTTAGAGTCACATTAAGGTTTAACTACTTGTCTGAGTTGTTTCAGTTCAAAGGATTGGCTGCATTGGATATTGGATGTTTTGAACTAATTTCTAATGAACTGGAAATTGTTGTCTATGAGATGGAGTTGTGACGGAATATTGCGGTAGTTCTGGAGGTTAGAGACAAGTAAGGAGCTTTAACTATTCGTCTGAGGATTGAGCCCTACATGTTGTATTTATATAAATGAGCCAATGATTGTAATCAATATGAGGGATTAAGGACCAAGGACTCAAGGGCATCGTTGTTAAGGCTATGTGGTAGGTCCTCACAGTGGGAAGGTTTAAGAAAAGATAGGGCACTATGGTCAGGATGGATAGAAAGCTTGGTGTGGAACTTCTGGAAGTGAGATCCGATCACCTAAGGCAAAAGAAATATTGAGGTCATTGTGGATAGTGAGATTAGTGATGTATTAAGGAGGTTGAGGTTTGATAATTTGTCTGAGAACTTTTGTCTGGAAGGATTGAATGCACTGGATATTAGATGGTTTGGAGGAACCATACTTAATATGTCCAATGTGGTCATAGTGTAGAGTTGGTTGAGTTTTGATGTTTAAAATAGATTTTGGTCCTAAAAGTCTTCTGTTAAATAGTTGTCTCTTAAGTCGGTGTTGGGATTTCACAATTATTCCTAAGAGGCTATCTGACTTCAGTGAAGGTCAGTAGTTCCTTGTTGTATAGTGGATGGAAAAATGTACATCTACACTGTCTACATTTTTCCTCATACAGACTTGTCACACTTTTGCACCAGTCTTTGATCAGCTCCAGGTGTTCTTGGATATTGGATGGCTTGGCGAAACCACACAGTTCCACTCCTGTCCACAGTGGTCACAGTAATGTCTTGTATAGTCTCTTAAGTCTTGTTGGGATTCAACGCCAGTCTATGTATATTTTTAAGTATCTGACTTGATTGGAAGTCGGTAGCTCCATGGTGTTGATGTGGTCATAAAAGACACTTAACTTAAAAGAACTCACAGACACACTGAAGCTGGCAAAATGTTGAAACGTGTCTTGACAGACAGCTCAGTGAGGTTAGGCAGACCAAGAGATCAAAATCACAAAAAATTGTAATTGCATTTATTCCTTTTATAGGTGTACATAAACTTTATTGTATTTTAATATGTAATTTTTTTTTATGTTGTTATTTTTCAACCAACAACCACCTACATTGTCATTTTTTTATTTCAGAGCTGAAGATTTGGTGAAAAATTGGGAGGACATCGACAAACTAGATTTCTCTCCTTTGGATACAAACAATCATTGGGGTGTGATCCCGCAGAATGTCACTCTGTCTTTGGACTTCTGCGAGAAGGTTATAACGGCCGCCGTCAAACCGGAGCTTCCCAAGCTCAAGTTACCTGTCACAGAAGAGCTCGATGAACTATACGAATATCCACCTGAAATTTTTCCTGAAAACGCTGTCATTCGGCATACCATATTATTGAAGAAACACATTAAAATTATGCATGAGCTTTTAGATTCAATAAACAATGATAAATCCGATATTATCATGTGTCCCGCGATACCTGAGATGGTTGAGCAGACAGACGAAGCGAATGATTTTGAAGGGATGGTCGTCAAAAACCTCTACAAATTCCAATACGGACAGGGACCAGATTATCCTTCCCTCAATGATGACGTTATCCATGACATGATTAAAAAATCTATTATTATTATATTAGCACAGATAGGTTTTGACAAAGCTAAAAAGTCTGTTATTCTCGTATTTGTCGACGTTGTTAAAAGTTGGCTGAGAAAAATTACAAATGTTTGCAATCTTTTGTCCCAATACGACTTAAATAAGGACCATGTCAATTACATGGATATTTTAGATCATGCTTTTAATATAATGGGCTTGGGCAGTTTATCTTGTGTACCTGAATATTATAATATTGATGTACTGGGCCGTCGGGATAGAGAATTAGCAAAATCGATACATCTGGTCAATATTTATACAAGAATCGTGAGTAGTATAATAGGCGAGATCAACGATGAAGAAGTCGAACCTGAATCATCACCAAAAACCGAAACGCCCATGACAACTAATATAACAAATATATCGGATTCGGCGCAAAATCTCAAACCAGGTTTTCAACCGCTTCACCTTATAGAAAATAGAAATATGACTGGGCAACCGTCACAATCGGACCCAGTTCCTGGCACTTCGGGCATAACGCAAACTATCCGAATAACTCCTGCTCAGAAAAAACAAAGGAAGTGAATTGTTTTTTATTTTAATTTTCTGTAATGGTTTAATAAATTATCTGAGCTTTGGCGTTCTCTTAAGAAGCTTTGGTGACTTCAAGGGCAAAATGATATAAACACCTTGCATGGATTATTAAACAAGATTTTTCTTTAAAACGCTTTCAAATTCTAGACTACTTCGAATAAAGAAAAAGTGAGATGGTTTTGTAATTTTTTTTTTTTTTTAATATATAAAACAGCTTGCCCATTTGATGAAGTTTCACTTTTCAGACAAGTACTGCAAAAGAAGTAGCGTTATTTATGCAGAAAAATAGTTTAGAAATTCATACAAAATTTTGAACTTAAAAAAAACTAATCCAAAATAGTTGACAAATTTTAGAAAAAATAATAAAAAATATTCCAATATTACAGATAATTTGACATAATCGCAAGGGAAATAAGTTTTTAATAATCATTTTTTCTATGCATTAGCAAAACTCAGTTTTCTGTCATTAACCCTGTTCAAATATACAAATTTGGTCATATTAATATAGTAAGATTTCTGATTAGAATTGAGTAAAAAAACATGTATGTAAGGTGCTTCCATCATTTTATCCTACACTGTACACATATAATGCGTTTCTTGAAGTGTGTATGTGTAGTTTATCTACTTTTTATAGTCAATTATCATCCAACGTGCCTTGTATTTTTTTAAGTAAATAAAATATATTGTTATATTTTTGTTAATTGTGTTCTTCATCCTGAGGCGTAATAGCGAATTATTATGTAATAAATTGGGTGGACAAGCATGCTTGTAAGGAGATCGACCAGAGGAAATGTTTTCCGCAGGCTTGAGATCAGTGGTGAAAGAACAAAATTACGCCGTTAGAAAACCATACACCAACAGATCCAAAATGGTACAAGGCCTGACATGAAGGGTGAAAAGAGAAAATTACCCCGTTAGAAAACCCCTACACCAATTGATCAAAAAGGCACAAGGCCTGAGATCAGGGGAGGACAAAATTATACCATTAGAAAACTTATAACACCAGATCCACAATGGATCAAGGCCTGAGATCAGGGGTGAAAAGAGAAAATTACACCATTATAAAACCCCTACACCAAGAGATCCAAAATGGATAAGGCTTGAAATCTGGAGTGAGAGGACAAAATTACACCATACAAATAACCCAACACCAACAGATCAAAAATGTCACAAGGCCTGAGATCAGAGGTGAAAAGACAAAATCACAAATACCAAAACTCTACAAAATGGTCAGGGCTTGAAATAATGAGTGTAAGGATAAAATTCGACTACTAAAACCATTACACCGACAGATCCAAAATGACTTAAAACTTGAGATCAGGGGTGAAAGGAAAAAATTGCACCATACTAAAACCCCTACAAATTTATCGCAAATGGTGCAAGGCTTGAGATCAGTGATGAAAGTAGAAAATTACACAATACCAAAACCCCTACACCAACAGATCCAAATTGGATAAGGCTTGAGATCAGTGATGAAAGTAGAAAATTACACAATACCAAAACCCCTACACCAACAGATCCAAATTGGACAAGGCTTGAGATCAGTGATGAAAGTACACAATACCAAAACCAGTGAAAGTACAAAATTACACAATACCAAAACCCCAACACCAACAAATCCAAATTGGACAAGGCTTGAGATCAGTGATGAAAGTACACAATACCAAAACCGGTGAAAATACAGAATTACACAATACCAAAACCCCTACACCAACAGATCCAAATTGGACAAGGCTTGAGATTAGTGGTGAAAGTACAAAATTGCACAATACCAAAACCCCTACGTGAAAATACAGAATTACACAATACCAAAACCCCTACACCAACAGATCCAAATTGGACAAGGCTTGAGATTAGTGGTGAAAGTACAAAATTGCACAATACCAAAACCCCTACACCAACAGATCCAAATTGGACAAGGCTTGAGATCAGCGGTGAAAGTATATTTTTGCACCTGGTGAATTCATCCAGCATAGACATTTCTATCTCTGTTTGTTCAATTATGCTTTTAGCATCCTTTGGGGTGTGTTGCTTCATGCTTATGATACAAAGGGTGCCGTGGCTGTTCCTGCTTTCACTAGGCCAGTCTGTTCAATCCCCTTGTGCCGCATCCACATCGGAGTTGTCTAATTGTGCTTTCTCAGAAGCTGGAGATATGTTACACATTCTTAGACCAGCTATGGGTTAGAGGTATCTAAAAGCCTTCTTGCTGACTAGCTGTCTAAGAATATATCTGTGCACCTTGTTTAAGTATTTCATGTACATTGAGTTCTATTGAGCTAGGTCAAACTTTCAGTGTCAAAACACTTTAGATCTATTTTTACATCATAACAGTTGTACACCCGCTATTAGTTTCAAGGGTAACTATTCTTCCAAACATCACTGAAAGGCAAAAGTTTATTTTTCACTCAGCAGGGTGTAGATTGAAAATTTTATAATCCGCACATTGACCTGGTATAACAAAATATCATTGGCACACTGCCGGGAAAACCTTGGTCCTCGTCGTCTGTTACTTTGAAGTCTAAATCTGTATAACTTACAACCAATTTTTATAGGTAATAACAAATTAAATTTGTGAGTAGTAATTTTTCAATTATTGAACAAATTAATTCAACTAATTTAGCAACTAACAATTATTAGATTAATTACGTAAAAGTGGGGTGAAGAAGAAACCTGAGCCAAAACGGGATTTAAATGTTAATTAGGTCGTTTTTATAAGCATTGGCTAATCTTATGTCTAAATTAAATTGTTCGAACTGTTGAAAGATGAATGGCCAAATGTAGCCAACTCAGCGAAAGGAATTTTTACCTCATCAAGAGCTGCCAGAATTCAAGTAGGTATAAAGACAACCCTTGGTTTTATATTTTATTTATTTATTATTCAGTCATTACATTTAGAAATATTTGTGTTTTTATTAATCGATGAGGCTCACATAAAAAAAATGTGATCTAAAATATAATATCATGATAAAATGTTTAGTACCCATCCTGGATTGACTAATTGCTTCTGTCCCCATCATTTATGATACAGCAATGTATCTGTCGTTTGTGCATTCCTGCCTGATTGGGGCACAGGCTTTTGATAAACTTAATAAACTTTTTGATAAACTTTATAAACTTAAATACTTCCTACCCACCCTTTAATACCATATCCTGGAATTGTATTTAACTGACCACTGCTTCAGAGTGAGGTGTAGTAATGAATACTCACATATTATGTATATCTATCTATTATGTGTATANTATATATATATATACAAGCCAGCATCCCACAAGGCAACATTCTTGGTCCCATCCTTTAGTCCATTTAAACTGTTGGCATCCTACACATCCCAACAGCACCGGATGTCACTGCAGTTCTGTCTGCTAACCCATATCCTACTTGAGCTTTTGAAAGACTGGTGACCAAAGCAGAGGACAAGACTGAATCAGGAAAAATGTAGACAGTGTAGATGTACATTGAAGAAGAAAAAGTTTTCCCCTTCATTGTACATCAACAAACAGGAGTTCCGACTTTCAATCAAGCCAGATACTTAGGACTATAGTAGACAGCAGAGGGACATGAAATTCAAAACAAGAATGTAGAGAAAACAATTTAACAGAAGGAATGGAATCTGTTTTGATCATCTAAAATCAATTAACTCTAAATAAGACATTACTCTGACCACATGGATACCCTTTGGACAGAGGTGGAACTGTGGTCCGCTAAACTGTCCAATTCCAGCACATCCAATCCTTCCAATCAAAAGTCTCTAACAGATTGTCAAACCTCCTTAATACATCACTAACCTCATTATCCACAATGACCTCAACATTCCTTTTCTCTGAGGTGGTATGATCCCACTGGCTTTTGATCCATCTAGACCATACTTCCCAAGCTTTTTCTTTACCTACATTTACCACCCTGAGAACAAACCATGTCGCATTAAATTACTATGACCAAGACACCTTCTCTTTAATCTTCCATATTGAGCGCCAGTGTTGGCTGTCTCTATAAGCACAAGATGTAGGCCTGTCCAAGACAAATAGTCGAAGCTGCTTACTCTGTCACTAACCTACACAATGACCTCAATGTTTTGTCAAAACTCAAATAGGTCTATACTTTGGACATGGGTAGAAATGTGCTAATCCACCAAACCATTCAGTATTCAATGCATTCAACCTTTCCAACGAAAAGTTCTTAGGCAAATTATCGAACTCCTTACTGCAACTTTAAACTCGCTATGCATACTGGCCTCAACGTTTCTTTTGTCTGAGGTGATTTGATCTCGCTTCCAAAAGTTCGATACCAGGCTTTCGATCCATCCTAAACAAACTGCCCAACCTTATCTACACTTTTCCTCAATCTCCATCAAAGCTCACATAATTCTATACAAGACATTACTTTGGACATGAGTAGGACTGTTTTGGTCCACCAAGCCATCCACTATTCAATGCATTCAATCTTTCCAATCAAAAGTCCTTAGAGAAATGATCAAAACTCCTTACTATGACATTAAACTCACTATCCCCAATGACCTCAATATTTCTTTTGTCTGAGGTGATAAGATATCGCCTTCACAAGTTCCATACCAACCTCTCGATCCATTCTGACCATACCACTCAAGCTTTTCCTACACTTTGCCTTAAATGACGATGATCATAAGACCTTGCCCCTGAATCCTTACGACTATTTATACTGAGAGCCAGTGCTGGCTGTCAGTAAAACATAAGCTTCCTTACTTCAACTTTTAACATATTCAAAACTTCTTGTCATCATTATCTTTGTTTCACTTCCAATTTGAAGCATTTGGAGAAGTCATCTAGCCCTAGCTATCATACATCACAGACATTTTCCACTTCATTAGACGATTCAAACCGTCCAATATCCAGCCCATTTAATCCTTCCAATCAAAAGTCCTCACATAAGTAGTTAAATTTATTTGTATGTCACTATACACAATGACCTCAAGATTTGTTTTGAGTTAGGTGTTATGATCCCGCTTCTAAAAGTTATACATCAAGCTTTCCATCCATACTGGCCAAGCCTTTTTTAAAGTTTTCCATCCTGAGAACCACTCTTGAGAGCAGCGTGGGTGGTTTCTCCCGAGTGTATCCTCCGGGTGCCGTGCCACGGTGCCAGTTTTAAAAAATAGAACGAGACATATTTACCTTTGAACCGGATTCTTCTGTATTAGGCAATGTTATTTGTAGCTTAAAAATCCTCTTGAACTTGAGTCAGAGCTCGGAGTGACTAAGCATCAGGGCGGGGGTGATTTTTAAATATAGTACCAAAACAAATGTTTCATACTCACTCGTCGCCTATAAATATATTCTCGTAGACTTCGTCGCAGTCTAGGCCGGCGTAGACACGATTTTGAGATTCTGGGTCGTTCTCACGAAATCCTGGCAACACCTGAAACGTCGCCCTTGATGACAATAGGACGTCTCTGAGACTAATCGCTTTGTCTAGATCATCTAATCCTCTAGCCATGCTGGTGAAAAAAACACGCACAAAATTTTCATTACTAAATCTACATTAGTATTGAATATATTTAACTTATTCATGCAAGAAAACTACAAAGCTTTGATATCGTGGAGATTTATATAGCATCAATTTAGCTCAGTGACAGGCCAGAAAAAACCCTCTAAAGATGACTAGGCAAGATTTATTTAATTCTTCTTGATTTTTTGCCACCTATCGTGTCGTCAGTTAGGTTGAGCTTCTAAAGTTATAATCTGATTAGATTAAATTGAAAATATTTGGAATGGATTAATAAAGCTTAAAAGTTTTAGCAGTTGATTTGCACTAGAACCGCTCAACCACTGGACAAAAGCACCCGGCATAAGGAAAGCTAAGCTAAGAGACGCTCAAAAAGGCCAAGGACTCCACTCTCGTCCCTCTCACTCACTCTCTCTCTCTCTCTCTCTCTCTCTCTCTCTCTCTCTCTCTCTCTCTCTCTCTCAGCAGGAAGATTTGAGGAAAATTATAAGAATGTGTAAAGAAAATGGGCAAAGCAGAGACAGAAACATATCTGTATCAAGAGGAACCGCAGGCATTGGACATATCCAATGTTGGACACGACACGCAAGAATGGCACAATTACACAGAAGACAAACACTTTGAGCCCTGAAGATGATCTCAATAAAGATCGAAACGTTGGCACGATAAAGAAAATGTTTTTCTGAAACCTACAGACCGCATCTCACGATTTCTGAATAATTATTGGACATATCCTTGAATTTGAGGCAGTAGCCCGTTTATGGTATGACATCACTTCGGTAAGGAAAAATAATGCACAGACAGACCACTTAATACATATGTATATTACTTTAAAAAGATTGAAGGAATATTACATGATTTCTTATAATAGCAGTTGGATACGGGCCGAAATTGTTATCCCTATCCAAAGGATGAACCGTTGGATGTTTGCAGTTATTTTTGGTACAACCGGCCGATTGTAATTTTGTCAGTCCTTGACCTAACGTTCTAAAGCATGCGATGGAAAGAGGTATGACATAAGGTCCGTTCTATTTCCATGCCGAGTGACGAAGTCCTGCAGTTCCCCTGACCCTTTGTACGTTCGTACTTTGACCCCATCTGATTTATGTTGTTAAAAGAACGATTCTTTATCTTTTTTTCTAATTTTTTTTAATAGTTGACTCTCGCTATTGAATTTATGTTTCCTCTTTACAATGGCTTTTGTAAATATTGTAAATACGATTTTTAAAAAAATTATATTATATGTATATATATTTTTTTTAAAAATTAAATTGATTAAAAAAACATATTCGCTCCATCTCTCCTTCTAGGTTTTTTCTCCCTCACACTCTCTCACTCTTCCTTTCTCTACAATATTTCTCTCTCAAATTATCTCCCTCTCTCATTCTCAGTCTCTTTGCCTCTCTCACACACATTCGCTCCATCACTCCTTCTATGTCTTTCTCTCTCTCTCTCTCTCTCTCTCTCTCTCTCTCTCTCTCAATCTCAATCTCTCTAAATCAGTTTATCTCTCTCCCTCTCTCTCAAGCCTATTTGCTCCATCTCTCCTTCTATCTCTCTCTCTCTCTCTCTCTCTCTCTCTCTCTCTCTCTCTCAATCTCAATCTCTCTAAATCAGTTTATCTCTCTCCCTCTCTCTCAAGCCTATTTGCTCCATCTCTCCTTCTATGTCTTTCTCTCTCTCACACACACTCTCTCTCTCTCTCTCTCTCTCTCCCTCTCTCTCAATCAATTTATCTCTCTCACTCACTCTCTCTCAAACACACTTTCTTTTTCTCTCTCCCTCTCTCACTCTCTGCCTCTTTGCCCCTCTCACACATATTGGCTCTCTCTCTCTTTCTCTCTCTCTCTCCTTCCCTCCCTCCTTCCCTCCCTCCTTCCCTCTCCCTCTCTCTCTAAATCATTTTATCTCTATCTCACTCACTCTCTCACAATCTCTCTCTTTACCTGTCGCACACATATTGGCTCCATCTCTCCCTCTATGTCTTTTTCTCTCATACCCTCTCTCTATGTCTTTTTGTCTCTCTCTCTCTCTCTCTCTCTCTCTCTCTCTCTCTCTCTCACTTACCCACTCCTTCTCTTTATGTTTTTCTTGTTTCCTCCCTTTGTTTACGCATTGCTAGATCTATTTCTCACAATTTTTATACGTTTATCTCTTTATATGGTTCTCTCTCTTTTTTATGTCTTTATATTCTTAATATTTTTTGCAAGTATATCAACCTTTACCTGTATCTCTATCAATCCATTTTTTTCACTCATTCTGTTTATTTATGTTCGCCTACGTATGTAATTATTTTTACATTAATTTCTCTTATAATCTTTCTATCTGTCTGTCTCTCTGTGTTGTTTTTTATCATCCAGATCCCATCTACAGTTGTATCGGATGAGTCTTACGATAGAATTGTCTAACCAGTGCCATATCAATATTTGGAAAATTATTTTGATTTTGAAATATATTAAATAAGCATTATTTACTAGGACCAAACAAAAACAGTATTTTTATAGGTTTCACAGCGTTAGGACATTTTGTCCCTAAATCTAAAGCGTATTTTCTACAAATTAGAAACTATATTTTAAACAAGCTAGATGAATTTTGTTAACACAGTCTAAGCATAACCCTATAAATTTTTAAATATTGAAAAAATACCTTTTTTGTAAGATTAGAAGTGTGTCGAGTGGTGTACAGCGTCAAAAATGCAAGGATCCTCCGTCCGTGAGAGAGACAATTCAACTACTGATATTATTAAAAAGTTGTAAACGGTTTGCAAGAGTTCTATTAATACAGTGTTAGAAGCGGGGTGTCCTGGGAACTCATTCGCCCACACGAATACCTCACATACTGATCGCATATTACTTTCCATCTCATTTTTTTTAATTTTTGTATAGCAGAACCCAAGAAAATTTGTGAAAATGCTTTTGAACTTTTACATCCTTCGCTTAGGTTCATGATGTTCAAGCAATTATGTGCTAATTAAGTTTGTCAAGGAAAAGAAGAAATAAGCACTCACAGCAGTGGGGTCAATCAGCTCAGGCACTCGGCCGAGTGCCAGGACGCACGGAAATCTATCGAAATGATTGATGCTGGCAAATCCTTACAGAGGATAATAGATAACTCGCACTGGGCGGAATCAAAGAACGAAAGACAAAGCAGGATAAAATAACTTAAATCGGGGAGCTGCTTCCTAATGGACATCTGATAACATCGTCGTCGATCGATACATGATTTTCAGATTGATGAAGAAACTCGGAAACATTTCCGCACGGTTTCTAGTGCAACTTCTCAGTTGAAAGCCCAACAGTACGGAATTTTGGGTCAATCACCGGCATACCACGAGTTCAGTACGATCTGCAGTTAGGTCGTTTAGATTGATCATAATCTGCCTCTGCCCTGTGGTTTGCGGGTCTTGGTTGTTCCGCTGACGCTGTATAGGGTTAGTGCTTATTAATGAAAAGGAAATTGATGTACATGGAAAGTAAAAGAGAACCTAAGATGGACCCCTGTTGAATTGTGAGCGACTGCTCAGATATTAAATAAACCAATTTACAAGGTGATAGGTCTGGAAATTATAGCAATAAAAGCAAGCAACACAGATAGTCTACGTTGCATGTAAAACAAAATCATTCGTAGAAAAATACATGGAACTTGCATTGATAGCGAAGGTTGCAAGCATTAATCAACGCTAAAGGATCACATAAAAAATGTTTATAAAATGTAAAAAATTATGAATTGTCATGCAAAGGTTTAATGAAAATGTATGAATAATTTTTGACTATAAATATTTCCTTTACAAAATACAATTGTATCGATGAGTTTTTATGGAGTTTCGTTGTTATTTATGGTTGTTTGTCGTAGAATTCAAGACACCGCTCATCCTTTAATTTTCCAAAAAAGAAAGTGTCAAAAAACCAAGTGTATGAGCAAGTTTTTGACGCGCAGCAGGTGGAATGGAAAGGAAGTAAAAGCAAAAGAGATTTGATGTACATGGAATATATAAGAGGACCTAAGATGGATAAGTATGAAACTCAAGGACTAGTAAAGCAGTATTGCAAAGCTGAAAATCACCCACATACAGAACATATCTGGAAATTGAATGCATGTCAAGTTTACAAGCCTTAATAAAAGCAAAGGAATTGCATACAAAATGCTTGCAGAAAAATGGAAAAACTTGTGAATTGTGTTGGTTTTTCGTTTTGTTCGTGTAAGAATAATTTTTTTACGTTTAAATATGCCAGATTTTTGTATTTTATTGTATCACGTAATTACTGTCGAATACTTATAGTTTATTGCTCAAAAAAGTTTTAGTTTGAACATGAAATTAAAGAAGAAAATGCCCAAAAATCGAGCGCGAGTAGATTAATTTTGAACAAAATTGTTTCAATGCGTCTTTTGTTGTGTTTATGGTGGGTGTTGGATTTTGGCTTTTTTTAAATTTAATTTTATTTCATAACTACAATTTTTTCGGACGTCAAATTGGAAGATTCAAGACGTTTCATATAATTATTAGTGAAAAAATAATTAGGTGTGAGACTGAAATATAAAAGCTTGAAGTTCTTGAATGCTCAGATGTCATCTACAAGACAAGACGATCATGTTTTTGATCGCCAAGTCGAGTCTGCTCGTCCGTTCATTTTCCAAAGAAGAAAATGCAAACAAACCAAGAGTAGGAATAATTTTTGACCAAATCTAGATGGTATATAATGGAAGTAAAATCAGAAAAGATTGATGTACATTGTAAGTAAAAGAGGACCTAAAATGGATCCCTGTGGAACGCCAGAATCAGTAAAGCAAATGTCAGATGAAATAAAAAATTGTAATTGGTAGAATTGGAAATTAAATTTTAGTGAAAGCTTGATTATCTAGAAATGGTTGATTGTCCCAAATGATTTGAAAAATGTTGAGGTTGAAAACTTCAACAGAATATTTCACAGTTCACTTTTTAACCTACACAGCTTATTATAAATTGATGAAATGTCTTGGATCTATGATAATAGGAGAGGAGACGTCTTTAAGGTTGTTTGTCGGTTGGAATCGAGCGAGTACATGGGAGAGATGCAATAGTGAGACTTTGGCATATTTCAAGCACGAGTGGATTCATTTTTAAAAAATTGTATCAATGCGGCTTTTGTTGTTGATGGTTGTTTGTCTTCTACGACTCAAGACACTGCACATGTTGATAATTTCATTCGTTAATTGTACCACCAGATAGATAGATGATAAATATAGAATAATTGTTTGACCCAATGTAAATCATTCGTTTACAAAGTATAAATGCATCAAAGAGGTCTTTTATTGTTATTTATGGTTGTTACAACTCAAGACGCCGCTCATACATTTGATCGTCAAGCCGAGTCTGCTCATCCTTTAATTTTCTAAAGAAGAAAATGCGATAAAACGAAGTGTATGAATAAGTTGTTCTCCCAATGCAGATGGAATGTAGGGAAAGTAAGAGCAGAAGAGAGTGATATAGATGGAAAGTAAAAAAGGACCAAGATTGACCCCCCCCCCCTGTGGATCTTCGGAATCAATAAAGCAAATGTCCGATCTTTTGGAGTTGAAATAAAAAACTGTAACGGAGGCCTCATATATTAATTAAAAAGTTTATAGTTGGTAGAGCTGGAATTAAATTTTAGGGGAAAATTATGAGGTTTAAACATCAATAGAGTATTTTATAATTAATTTTTTTACTTACACTGCTTATTTTAAATTGATGGAATGTCTTGAATCTATGATAGTAGGAGAGGAGAGCTCATTAAATTTAATTTGTCGTTTGTCAAACATTATTTAGACTTTGGCATACGTAAAATTTTCAAACCCGAGGATTCACTTTTAAAAAAATTGTATCAATGCATCTTTTGTTGTTGGTGGTTGTTTGTCTTCTACAACTCGAGACGCCGCGCATACTTTTGATCTTTAAGCAGAGTCTGCTCATCCTTTAATTTTCCAAAGAAGAAAATGTGATTTAACGAATTGTATGAATAAGTTTTTAACCCAATATAGATGTACTTGTAAGGGAAGTAAGAGCAGAAAAGACTGACATAGATTGAAAGTAAAAGGGGGCCTAAGATGGACCCTTGTGGAACTTCAGAATCAATAAAGCCAAAGTCGCATCTTTTGGAGTTGAAATTGAAAACTTGTAAGGAAGTACTCAAATATTAATAAAAACTTTATAATTGGTAGAGCTGGAAATCAAATTTTAGTTGAAGCTTGATTATTAAGGATGGTTGATAGACCCAAATGCATTTGGAAAATTTTGAAGTTGAAAACAACAACAGAATATTTCATAATTCACTTTTTTACTTGCATGGCTTATTTTAAATTGATAGAATGTCTCGGAGTGATAGTAGAATAGCAGACCTTGTTAAATTTAATTTGTCGGTTGGTATCGAACATGGGAGGGATGCAATATTTGACTTGGGGATATGCAAGCAATGATAAACGAGAAATATTTAGCATTGCAATTATCAAATAGTTGCCAATTAAGGAAATGAAAAACGCCCCCCCGAAACCGATAGCGTCAGCAGTAAAAAAAAGGACTTGTGGTAGATTCAGACCTCAGTGAGTCTCAGTTCCGTGCGCCCCTTCCACAATTTCACCCGGTGCGTCGAGGACGTAAAAATATAGGCTTGTAACACAAACCGACCTTTTTTGACGTGTTTATCATTCTAAATTAATATATTTTTCGAGAAAGGGAAAAACACCCGAGATAAAAATAGTTCGTACCTGTTGATGACAGTCGATCAGACGAGAAGTGATGTTTTGTCTTGAAAATCAATAAGGGGTGTATCAGCCCTGAGAATCGCGTTGAGGTTCAGTTTCTGTCAAGTCGACTTTCCGTTAAACACATGTTCAAAGTCTGCCCTCTCTGAACGGTCTCCATTTGTTTACATTCTTGGATTTGAAACGAATTCCGGCAAATATGCAAAGGAGTGGTGAGTGCTTTGATTCTTATTTAAACCCAATCCCGGCCAGGGGGGAAAATCCCTTTATTGCCGGCATCGAATAATAAACATGGCGCCAAAACATTATTTTTCGATGTTAACTGCCTTTTTAGAGGACTCAGATCGAAAAGTATCTGTAAATCCTCGACATTGGGTAGTTTTTCAATTGTCTCTCGACGTCCCAGACTCCCGTTCCGTTGCGTAACAAATAAAATCTCCGTCGAGTAGTACGAGCCGATAAGCCCTCGCATTTATTAAATAATTTGAATCCCCGGTATTAATGAAGGAACAAATGAAAAATACAATTGTACGTTTTGGTAGGGGTTTTTTTGGGGCGCGAAAAAACTCATAATCGCTGTTGCGAAGGCCGTCTTGGTCACGCCTATCCATCGAACCCGCCCGGGCGTCTTCGACAGTGCCCCGTAAGACGCGGGTTCCGTTGTGCGTTGACCCTAGGGCGAAGGATGCATTGGAAAAAAAAAACCAATTGAAATTCCCGTTCGGTACGGCGTTGACCAAAATTGGACTCGCTCGACGGGTTGAATGAATAAAATCGAATCGACCTCCCACCCGATTAAACCTCATTTAGATTTTCACATTTGCCTTAATTTAATTTCCAACTCCATTTGGACGCTTCTCTGCTTTGATCGACACTTCAGCAGTGACGGCTGTTCAAAGCCTTAGCGATCAAAAGCACGAGCGGCGTCTTGAGTTGTAGACCACAAACAACCATAAACAACAACAAAAGACGCGTTTTAGTAAAATGAATCCACACAAACTTAATTTGTTGGCATTGTCTTATTTAAGTCTAT